TTTCTTATGTTGATTCTTCTACTGTGTTTCTGCTGTGTTTCTTTATGTTAAAAGTCTTAGTTCTTCTTAAGGTTTCTGATTTTATTCTCTTTGTTGATATTTTCGCCTGATTCTCTTTTCTTTCATCTCTATACTCGATTGATGGTGAAACCCCCAAAAATTGGGGTTCATTCGAGTTTTGAGACTGTTTGTTATGCGATTTGCTTGTTCCTCATCTCTGAATTTGTTTGATTTCGAAGCTCTAATTCCTTTCGACCTATTCGAGCTTCTGAAAACTGCGTCGTCTATTTGAAGTTGCTCGACTGGATTCAAAGTCCAGGTTTCAACTTCTGTTTCTCTATGTGATTTGGTTTCTTACAATCTTTGAACTAAACTATACTTTCCAGAAAGGTCTTTTACTTGACTCTTTTGCATGCTTCTGATACCCTCTTCTCCCTATTAATAAGTTGACCTATGTGACTACCATGTTTCACTATCTACAGACTTTGTAATTATTATTGCTGCTTCTCTTTGCCATGGTTTAACCTCACATGCCTAATGTTTGTGCACTCTTTATATATGCTAAATTTCCCTCTCAATATAACCCTTAATTGTGGACTGATTTCAGACCTCTTTGTGTAAGCCTGATTGATTCTTTCCTTGTTTTACTAATTTCCCTGTTTCTTAGGTTGATTCGAAAACTTTCCTTAGCCTTTCGATTCTCCTATTTCTGACTTGGTTTATTTGTAACTTCGAATCCCTGACTCCTTGATTTACTATGTGCTGATTGATTTATTGTGTTTCTTACCTTATTTGGTTAACCGTGTATTTCAAAGACTCTTCATTAATTCTTCCCTTAATTAAACTCCTATGTATTTACCCCCAATTGTCTACTTTGCACAGGATGTTTACTTGATCTCCTTCCTTAAATAATTTCTGTCCATTACCGTCTAAGTTTGAACACCTTAATTAAAGGAAGCCCATATACTGATTGATTTTAATTGGTACATAGTTCCATAATTATTATTAGACTATGATTCTTGCCTTATTTCTGCACCTATTTTCAAACTATAAATGCCCTGCACTCTCATTAACACAACACACACGAACACTCTTAGTTTTCTGAACTCACACTAACATTCAAAGAAAAAAAAGCATTCTCTCTTGTTACTTGTACCGTGGCCTGTTTTTCAAAGTCCTGCTACTGCTTTTACTGTATTTTGCCTCCTTGAAACTGGTATGTACTGATTAAGATTTTCAGCAATCACAAACAATGTGTTTATTTAATACCTTTACTTGCATGTCTGCCTACTGTTTGTGCTCAATTCAGCGTTTACTTTAGCATGCTATAATCTTCTCCTATTATGAATCCCAAACCCCCATACCCCCAATGTGTTTGATATTAATGGTTTGTTTGAGGCATGACAATATTAAATATTATTGTTTATGGCTCAAACTTGATTCCCCTGGAATCATAACCTCTATGTCACCATCATGTGTTGTGTATTCTTGTTGATTCTGTAAGTATAACAGCACTCTCTATTGCTGTGTATGCCCAGGATTAGCTAATGCCTAAGTACATAGGCTCTTTGGCAATTTTCCCAATCCCTGAACCCTTTGTATGACTTGTTTATGACTGTTTCTCAGCCCCTTTTCCCTCTTCTGTACTTTCTTAGTTCTTTAAAACTCTGTTTTCTTCACTTGCACTCTTTCTTAGACTTAAGTTCCGCCCCCTCTTGTGAGCCTTACCTTGGGACTTTTTGAGTTCCCTCTAAACTTGGACACTTGAAGGCTGGCACTTCCACACTGCACTTGTCCCCCACTCTGGTGATACAATTTGGGTGTGAGCACTGCTCGGAGTCCCATTGAGGCTCTTAGGGAACTTTGACACACTCAAATAGGTGAAAGGCTTTGGATCAATGGTCTTTGAGTTGGTCTATCTCATAATTCAGACATGAAGTCTGAATCAGGCTCTCCTTTGGTTGTACTTTTTTTACTTTTTCAAATATAATTTTATTTATTCTGGTTTGTAATAAGTTGTGATAAACGCTTGGAGCTGGCTAGTGAAAAAAAGGGATGGGTAACTATGCATGCAAAGGGTAGAAAATCATGCCTATAGGTCTATTCTAATTCTGCATGTGCAATATAGAAATCATGCCTATATGTCTATTACAATTCTGCATATTCAAATACATATAGAAATCATACCTATAGGTCTATTCTAATTCTGCATATGCAAATACATATAGAAATCATGCCTATAGGATTCTTACACTTCTGCATATTCAACTCCGCCTAGAAATCATGCCTATAGGATTGTTCCAACGCCATTCAAACTGCATTTAGATACCATTAGGTGTCCTAATGCACCCTAATCATTAGGTGGCGACTCTTCAAAATTGCAAAACTCCTTTTCCAAAAGGAACGAGTTGTCCCTACTAAATATCAAAAACCCGATTTCGCGAGAAAAAGGGGGCGCGACAAGAACCACTAGCTATGGAAACATATTTTTGTGAGAAAGGTTTAAGGGATGAAACATATCTAGAATCAAACGTCACGTGATACATAGCAGCGGAATCAATTATCCATGTAGTATTAGAAACAAGTACAAATGAATAAAGACTTACCACTATTACCTCTCGTTGCTACCAAGGCTGTGTCTGTCCAACATCATCTTCCTCATTATTTGTTTGTACAATTGTACTAATGGAAGTCTTGACTGTATTCTTCGTCTTAAATCACGGTTATTATCCCACTAGTCTGGGTATCCCAAAATTTTAAAATAATAATCATTTGTGTGCCCTGGTTGATCATAGTGAGTACACTTATATGAGGACATGTTGATGCCCTTAGACTTTGTTCGATCTTGTTTGGTTAATGCACTTACGTTTGGTATAGGTATGTTAAAAGGTGCATAACTGGGTGTTCAAAACCGAACCGAAACCGAAAACCGAACCGAAATCGAAGCTTAATGACTTATTGGTATCGGGTTAACGGTTTAACGGACGGGGAACGGATTGAATTTTTTTTATTAACGGCTTATCGGTTTGGGGGCGGATTATTCAGTTTTCTTAACGGATAATCCGTTAACCCGTTAAGAATATATATATATATATATATATATATATATATAGATATTTTATTTTTATTTTATCCATATATATATATATTAAATAATCAAAAACCCTTCTTCCACTTCCAGTACTCTATCTCTATTCTCTATTACTAATTTACTATTAGACAAATTTTAATTGCTTGCTTCGTGCATTCTTTTCAATCCTATCAAACCAAAAATAATTTACTTGATTGCTTCACGTATTCTTACCACCTCCAGTAGGTGCAGTGGAAGTACCAAAACTTAACAAACAAAAGATAGTTTAACGAGTAGAATTTGCTGTTAAATTGGGTTTAACACATACATCTGCAGGTTTGCTTGCATGTAAAAAAAATGTCAGTCCGCGCACATTTCGGCAGGTGTTCTTGGATTGTTTAGAAATTAGAGCGACATCTAAAGAAAATTGGAGCAGTTATAAAACAAGAGCAAGAAATCCCATTCTTTGACCAACATCAGCATACATTTGAAGCACAACGAAGCAAATTTTGGACCCTCGCTAAATTTGGTAAATTGCGTCATGTGCAAGATCGAATTAGGCCGATAAACCGCCCGATAACAACCCGATAAGAGCTAAACCGATACCAATCCGCCCGATATCTTATCGGGTGGCTAGCGGATTAATACATCTAAAAGCCGATATCCGATAAACCAAACCGTTAAGAGTAAATAACCGCCAAATCCGTCCGATAAGCAGCCCTATGCGTAACTAGAAGAAGCTAAGTCAAAATGGGAAGAAAAAAAGGTCAAGGAAGTAAAAAATAGAGGATATCTAAAGCTCATAGTTGGCCAAAAATACAACACAAGTTGCTAAGTTTTTGGGGTCCACTGCCAATTGCTATGTCAGGAATGCGATCAAGCTTAAAAATATAGTGAAAAATGCGTTGAAGCACAAAAATGTTAAAAACTTCAGTTGTAAAAGAAATAAATTACCGATATAAATTCTTATGACCAAACTCTCTACTGTTGGCAAGAAGTTGCCTGAAGCTTTAGTTGAACGTGACAGAGAGAAAATTAAAACACATTTCTTTCCCAATTCACTACTTCTGTCAACTTGCTATGTTGATTGACATGGAATAGCAATGACATAAGTATGATATCAACAATCCAAATCATAAAAAGCAAATCTCGTTCAGTTGGATTATTGATTTTGATAGAGTTGAATCTAATGAGGTCCAAAATTCATGTTTTTTTTAAGACTATTGAAATGAATGAAAATTTTATTGTTGTAAGCGTGGTCTTTTCTTGAGTGTGTTTGTTATGCATAATTTTTTTCCAAGCTAAAGTTCTAGAAGAAACAGACTTCCTATGCAAATATTTAAGACAAAACTTTAGACCGCTTGGTATATAGTTATCCAAAACTAATAGCATAAATCCTAAATCAATCGTGAAGTGCATGGATTTATATTTGCAAAACTTATTAAAATAAGAATGAAATATAAATAGTGTCCTCAAAAGGGCTATTTCAGAAAATCAAAGTGGAAATGACACTAGGTAGCCATTTTTAAGCATGTTGTTTAAAATATATCCACAGTTTGCAATGTATTTAAAGATTAGCCAAATTTGCTCAAACTTCATGACACGACGTCCTAGTGTTTAAACCTCAAAATTCAAATTTAAGGATATTGTGGCCTAAAGTTCGAAAATTGTGTCCGAAAGTTCGAATCTTCTGTCCTCAATATTAAATTAGTAGTTTAGAAATTCAGGATGCTTAGTCCTGAATTTCAAATTAGCAGCTCAAAAATTCAGGACACTAAATACTTAATTTCCAAATTCAGGATACTCAATCCTGAAGTTTGGATGAATTGACTAATTTTTAAATATATTATAAATTATGAATATATATATATATTTTAAATAGCGTGCATAAAGTGGCTATTGCTGCATTTACCAAAGGTAAAATGAAAATCAATGGGATTAAATTGCTCGCGGGAGGATAATAAAACTGTTTTTGCCCAGTGGCAGCGGTGTGAAGTGGCTACAATGGCTTTGCGCACTTCTTCCTCTTTCTTATCTTCCACTTCTTCTTCATGCTCCTCCTCCTTGTGCTTTCGTGTCAATCCTCTTCTCTTCTCCACGCAACGCCGTTACACTGTCTCACTCTCCCGTTCTCGTCGATTCTTCGCCAGTAAGTCTCCTTTCTAAATATCCCTCTTTTTTTTCCTACTTATTTCAATTCTTAACACCGAAATTGCGTCGGAGTTGAATTAGGGCTTAGGTTTGTAGTACCTAATTATGCTTTTATGATGCAGTGTCTGCAGCAGCAGCAGAAAGCGATGGTATATTTACTTCACCCGAAGTTGCTAAGTCATTTGATTTCAGTAATGAAGAACGCATATATAAATGGTGATTTTGCTTTCTCTGGACTCAATTCACCGCTTATACTTTTGGATTGTTTGTTTTATTTCTGGTGTACCTCATAAGCTAACGGCAGTTATAGACAAAAACTTTAGAAACGGTTCAGTAGATTTTGTTTTTACTGTTTCTACCGTGAACTGCTATTATGTTGGCTTGAAATGTTGAAATGCAAATTCCTGTTAAGTTTTAGATATTTTGTGGTTTTAGTATACAAAGCTGTTCACTGTTAACTTCAATTGGCAATACTTAGAGTGACTAATAATTACACAAAATTTGGCCAGTTTATTCTCCATTAATAAAACAAAATCAATACCATTTCTGCATCAAAGAATAATGGTTATATCACTATCTAAGTATTCATTACTCTGCAAAATACTAATCAGTGAAATTGCTGATTATTAGGTGGGAGTCTCAAGGATATTTCAAACCAAACATTGACAAAGGGGGTGATCCTTTCGTAGTTCCAATGCCACCACCTAATGTTACTGGTTCACTGCACATGGGGCATGCCATGTTTGTGACCCTTGAGGTTGCATTCAGTTGCAATTCTTTTGATATTTTTCCTCTAATCTATTATTTTGAGTGTCTATCTTGAGTTGTATGAGCTCATCATTCAATATATCAAGTAATTGTTGGCTAGATCTCACTTGCTACTCTATTTTGGGGCACAAAGCTAAAGATAAAGTTGATTACATGATAGCTTATAGAAAAGAGGTCCTATAATTGAAAACTGAATGTATGTGGTGTCTTATCTTTGTATTGAAAATCATTTTCTCGACAATGACCAACTAATAAGGCTACCAGCCAACAAATTGTTATTTTTATCATGTCTTGTCAGGTTTAACATGAACAGTCAATAAAATTATCAGAAACACTTTCTGTTTTTTTTTGTTTGATAAAGAAACAGTGCCTTATGCTAGATCGAGATTCTATATAATAAATAGATGAAGGAAATTATCAAATTTCAGTTTAGGTGACTGCTGACGAAGTCGGATAACAGTCAGTGCCTTGTTAGTTCTACATTGTGTCTCAGTTTAAAATGTAGAATATAGATAGTTGCTTTATGCTAGAACAATCATGCTATCATAAATGGATGATAAATGTCATTTAAGTGAGGATGTATAGATGATGACCTGAAAATAACTTAATTTGTCTTAGAGAACTCAGCTTACATTTTGATATATATGGTTACTTTTGATTCCTTGCATCTTGTGTTTAGATGTATGCTATCACCTTAACCCGTCTTTGATCCCTAATTTTCAATATTCATAGTTCTTTCTATTTTGTTTTTCCAGGATGTATTTCCCCACAATACTGTATTACATTCAAATGCATTGGCAAACCATTTGTCTTCCGTATTCTGGAATTCTATTTATTGTTGCTAAGAAATATGAATAGTACTAATTTCGTAGTATTATCAAGTGGTTCTAGAAGATGGTAAATCCATATTGACTATTCTATTTTTCAGTATCTTTTCTCCATTTTGGTTGTCAAAGATTAATGGAGATGAAATTTTCTAGTGCAATGCAAATATGACTGAAAATTTTAGAACATAATGAAGCCGTATGGGGTTATAGTTATCATGGGATAGTTAGTTGATGCTTCACTTCCTACAGGCTGACACACTTGGTATATCTCATTTTTCTATGGCGATTATAGTTATCATACAAGGTGTCACCTTACCCATGTCTTTGTGCACACGGAGACACACGTTCCTGAATGATTTATCTTTCCTCGGAGATTTCGATGTCTACTTAAAGGGAAGGGCTGGGTTTGGGAGTGTTAAATCATATGACCAAGATATAAAAGTTTTAGTTGTTAGATTAGGGCAAACTTTTATTCACTTAGTTATATCTTCTACACGCCCCCTCACGTTTGAGTCTAGTTATTTTTCATGGCTAGGCACATAGAGTTTTTGTTTTGACAGTCAAAGGCGGTGAGAATTGAAATCTTGAACCTCTTCCTACTCTGATACCATTTTGAAGTGTATGATCACTTCATCTAAAAGTTTAAGCTATTCATGCTTTGATCTTGCTTCTCATGATTCAACATATTGTCTGCCCACATGGTGGCTTGGCCAATTCTGCATCTCCCCGCTTTAAGTGGCTTGACTCTATAGTGGCATTGCCTCCCCGCCTCAACGGCTAGGTCCAATTCTGGCCCTCCTCTTGAAGTGGTTTTGACTCACTTTTACACATATGGGAGCTGACTCCACCTATTTGTAACACTCGAACTCCCCGCAAGGCTAAAGTCTTTCCTCATGGTTGTCGCGACCCATATGCACGCCCTTTCCTTGCTTGGCTTCAACTTTGAGTAGTGCTTACTCTTGGAGATTCTCTCCTTCGTGATGATAGGTACAAAATCTATTCACCTAACGCGGTTGTTGATGTGACACTCGTGCGAACACCCCCACTAGGTTGGCCTCAACCTTGCTTGCTTGGACTGCTGCGTGTTATATGACGGTAGGCACCACATCTATTTTCCTTACATGGTGCTTGGGGATTCACCTTCCATTCATTTTAGCCCTATGATAGATAAACATCTAGCATACTCAGCTCAACGCCAACTTTCTAGGAGGACTCTTCAAATGATGCACTTGCAATCTCGGTATGCTCCATGAAAAGATCTATGCCTGATCTAGCCCCAAGTTTATAGTCCATGGCCCGCGGCTCACCATAACTTGGTTGCTCAACCTGGTAAACGTGGACTTATCTTACCTCAACTTATCGACATGACCCAATATTCAATGGAATTTAGTCAACAAGCATCACTTATCATCAGAATGAACCCTTCTCTCTTCAGTCAAATAGGGACGAGCTCTATCCACTATCCCCAGAGTTGACCGACGATGTGAAGGAGAAGAATGTTGTCTATAATCAGGTAGTCCTTTTTCTAGAAGCTCTCTATCCAGCTTAGCGCATGGAAGGGCAAGTCGTTCTGTTAGGGTCGTGGTCACGGAGAGAAAATTCTGTTACCAATTTCGCCTCATTAAGTTGGGTAGCAACTTTGCATTGACGCATAGCATGGCAAAAACATCTTGAATTGACAATTATCTGATGCAAATGAACCTTCTTTGCTCGAATTGTGCAAGAATCTCGCACGACACATCCACAATCTCCACATGACATTCTAGCCAAGTCCATGCTTTGCTGAAAAAAGCTGCCAGTTGAGCCCACTGCTGATAGAGTATCTGACACATTGATAGATGATCACAATATAGACATAGGCTCTAAAGATACTTCTCTGCCTAGTCTTACAACTGAATCCCAATAGCTTAGCACGATGATGCTGCATCTAACCAAATATGCTTCAGTCAGTTCCTTCTAGAAACACATTGACTGCTCATTGATAGCTCAATAAAAAGAATGCCCCAAGATCAACTCGTAAAAAACATATGAAGGTGGAAACAACGACTGTGGATGGCATGATTCTGAAAGTCGTCGTTCGTGGCTGACAAAACTAACTCTTTTTGGATGGTCTAAGAATTTTAATGGGGAGGAATTGAACAATGTTGTTCTTGATTACCATTAGCCTTTTACTTTTTCATTTTTCACCTAACATAGTCATTAATTTATCTGTTATTTGACATATCTCAAATTTTCTACATTACTTCATTTCTATCGTCTCCTTTGTCAGGATATCATGATACGATATAACCGCATGAAGGGAAGACCTACCCTTTGGCTTCCTGGAACAGATCATGCTGGTATTGCAACTCAGGTTCCCTCTACATCCAAAAGCTTAGTGCTTTTACTTAACTGCATCTCATTTTACATTTGACTTTATATTGCTAACTTATGGATGCGTGTGATTCGTTGATAATTTACATTCTTGGTTTCATCTAATTTTGATCAAATTTTCTTACTATGATGGACCATTTTGGGTATGCAAGAAATTTCGTTGCTAGCTAGTTGAGTTTGAGTTCATGTTTTCCAATATTATCTTTGTGCAAATGCACATGGAATGGAAGTTATTTTTGCTTGTTTTGGTGGACGGAACTGTGGTTGTCAATATGACTTTCCGGTACTGATATTAGTTATAGAGTTTTGATGTGTAGCTAAGGTGTTCTGTCATTTACTCCCTCAATTATGTCAACATTTCCCTTTATCTGTGGTTGGTAAGATGTTGGTAGTCCTTTTTCTTTCTCAAACTTGTGGAGTACTTAATCTTTTTGTGTAATTGGCTCCACTTGTCATTTATCTTTTTTTTTTTCACAACTGCTCTCATTTTCCAGAATGATCTTAACTAGCAAAATTTTTATTGTTTCTTGGGTGTGAAAAACTGAATACCTTTTATCTTTTTCTTTTTCTCTATTTTTTCTAGTTGGTTGTGGAGAGAATGCTAGCTGCAGAAGGAGTAAAACGGGCTGATTTGGGTAGAGATGAGTTTACAAAACGAGTATGGGAATGGAAACAGAAGTATATCTACTCATTCTTATTTAAGCTATTTGTTTACTAAATTCTAAATGCTACATGATTGATGGTATAAAACTTTTTCTCGCATATGCAATCCAGTAAAAAAAGATAGAGAAACTTTTTCACCTACATGTCATCGTAGGAATCTCCCAAGTTACTGGTGAATTCTTTTATCTATTCATTTTTTGGATGAAATAACGATTATTTTATTAAAAGCATCCATAAGATGTCGACAATTCTTTTAGATAAGTAACATATTTTGTTAAATGAGTACCATTAGTGGCTATCAGCAGACCTTGACAAGTAAGGAAAGATAACTTCTTTGTGATAAATTAATAAATTTCATTAAAAAAGGGCAAACACGTGTTCGTATACCAAAAAATAGAAACCTTGGAAAGATAATATACAATGAAAAGAAGATAACAAACATTATGGAAGGTAAAGTACCAAGGTCTTCCTCTTCTTCTTTGATAGTAAGGTCCACGATCTCCTTGTTGGATAGAGAAATCTAGTTGGCATCTATTATTTTATGTCCCAGTTAGAACAACCTCCTCCCCACTAAAAATGAACATTTTAATTTCTTATTAAAAAAATGAAATGAAAAAATAAATAATATTCTCTACAAGTTGTGCAACCATTGAGCAGTAGAGTACCAAAGAGGAAATTTCTCATGAGAATTTTTTCTCATAGAAATTTCCTTATATTCTGATAACATGTCAATGAGTTGAGCTCTGATGCTCTAAATAGTGTTGAAGGCCTGGAAAAAGAGAAACCTATAAACTTCTTTAGTTTTTGGATGAAATGAGCTTCTCTTCTTATACTCCCTCTTTTCCATTTTATGTAACAACCTTTCCCTTTTTAGTCTCTTAAAAAAGAGCATACCTCTTTGTATTTGAAAATAATTTAACTTTAAACATTCCATTTACCCTTAATGACATGCTTTTATAGCAATAGAAATGAGACCACAAGTTCGAAAAGTCTTATTTTTTTTCCTTAAACTACATGCCCAGTACAGAGGGAGTTCTTTAAAAAAAAATTCAACCTAAGTTTATACCTCTGGAATCTTTCATAGTTCCTATACATAGGTGGCACTGCAATTCCTTTGAATCTATTAATTTGCATGCTATGCTCACATATATTGGGGTTGAGGCTATTAGGTGTTTTTTCCAATAAAAATAATAATATATTGATGTGGTAACTTTTTTTTAAGTATATTAAGTTGTATACAGAAGTGGAATCTACATAATGAATATGCCTGTCTACAAAAAATTACCCAATCATAGATGTTGCTTGGGACTTCGTGAGTGTACCAAAAGTCTACCAAAACAAAAGATTTGTAGAATATATACAAAACTAGTGTTCAATCCCTCAAATGCTCTCCTATTCCTTTCTATCCAAAGTATCTCATGTGGTCGGAGGCGTTTCATCCCATGACCGTGTTCTTTTGCTCCTCCTTATGATTACCCCATTGAGCAACTAGTCTTGACATGTCGTTAGCATTACCTGCCAAATGCCACTGGGATTCAGCACTGCCCACCATGATTGAATTGTGATTTGACAGTGAACAACCAAAATTTTCACATTATCACAGGCTATTTTGCACATGCAACACCAAGTAACATGCGTTATCTCTATTTTTTCCGTGAGAATTGCTCCACTTTGTATCTCGCCACGTGATGAAGCACTCCTTCCTCAGTGTTGTGAGAACCCTAAATTGAGAGGTGGGGGAACACTCTATCCTCTTTATTTGATGACCCGTGGTAGAAGAATATGACCGAGAAAGTTCCTCTTGCCTTTCCACCCTAAACCGAGGGTTAGAAGCTGTTGACAAAGGGCTCCTAGTTCTATGGCATTCTTCGGGACCTTCCATTGATTAATATGGTAATCTTCCATTTTCGTTCCATAACGAGATTAGCTTGAGCTTACTAATAGCCATCTTTGTTCCTGCATCTATATTACGCTTCTATTATGGTACATTAGTTCCCTATGCGCTAATAGTTAGCTACATTTACAATGTGCCAACATTTTCCTCACTCATTTCTAATTAAGCTGACTATTAGTATCCACTCCACCCCTAGAAAAAGACACTTTTTATCGTGACTATGTGACAATTACTTCTATAGTGTGGTTTGTCTTCAATCATGATATTGAAATGCATAGTAGTCTCTTCATTTGGTAAGGTACTCCTTTGGTCTTTTTTTTTTTTGATAACCGCGGTGTTCCATCCAACTTGTACACACCTCGACTAATTCTAAGGGGTATCTTCTACCTTCCACCAACACAGGTGCTGGGTAAATCTGTCCACCAAGTCGTAGACAGATGGAAAGAAATCACCAAGTATTTTGGTCACCTATTTGTTCCCCTATTTATTCTTCACCTGTTGTCCTTAAATGCTAGGATAGTTTCACCTTAATTCCTAATTTTATCTTGACTAATATCTTGCGCCCTCATTTTTTTGATAACGAAGAATTCTTGAGAGGCCAATGGTGCACGGTTCTATACTCGGTGGATAGCGGACCCACTCTGTTACTCTACTTCACTTAAATGCAGCAGGGTTCGAACCCGTGACTGTGCGCCTAACCCACACATTATGCGAACGCTTTCTTATAATTAGACCAAAGCTATGGAGGCCTTTCAAGCTCACTTAACTATTCCACATACTTTTGTATTTGGCAAGGGGGAAGATAATTTTTTTTTTTTTAATTTTCTTATGAGAAAGGTAAGTATGGGAAGATAAGGTGGTACATTTTTTTTTTCTAAGAGAACTGGTTTGCAGCTGCATGTTCAATGATGCTTCATCCTATTTGTCCATTCTGATAGCTTTTTCCCGGAATTGATCTTAAAGAAATCTGATCCAATGCTTTGTAACATTCCAAACCGTTGGATGGGTCATTATAAATTATAAATCAGGACCTGATGGCAAGTCTGAACATAAGAAGCCAACACTAGAATGAGAAGAAGCCGGAAGCATGTTCTTCCTCGACAGTTTGATGTGAAATTGAATGTTGATGAAGTGTGCTCTCCAAAATCCTGATAGTGATGTTTCACGTTTCTAGCGACTGTAGAAAAACGATACCAATGTAATTTTATTGACCAAAATGAGAAACGTCTAAACGTTATATCAGTTTGTAGCAATTTGACATGCTTGTGACTATCTAGCTAATGGAAATTTTTCAGTAGGTTTCTGCGGGCCTGATGTTCCACTTTTCTTAAAAACCTACATAATCTTAATGAAGAGTTTGCCTATCCAACAGACAAGTGAACATTTAGTACACATCTTGCTGTGTGAGGTTTGGCTAACTAGGCAAACTTTTGGATTATACATATCAACACACACACACATACAAATCTTTCTCCTTTTACATGAATCCAATATTTTCATTCCATATGGGAAAAGCCATCTTGGTGGCCCCAGTCAAGTGGGGACCTCAAAACTGAACCCATGATATTGGTACGCGAATATCCAGAAAAAGCATAATATTTGATACTGTTAGAAAATGAATAGGTGCTCAAAGAGTATAGTCGGTGAGTGACTGACGAACTAGAGGAGATTTGATCTTGAATCAAACAATATTAGTATTATTGATAGTTGATAGTAATATTAGTATTTCGGAAACAGCCTCTCTACTACTTCGGGGTAGGAGTAAGGTCTGCGTACACACTACCCTCCCCAGACCCCACTTGTGGGATTTTACTGGGTTGTTGTTGTTGGATAGTTGAGAATTTTAGAGCACGGGCTGAAGCAGGTGAAATCAAAGGGCATATCATCGTATTACATTTGTTCTGCAAGATTAGAGAATCATCATCAAAACCTTGGTCTAAGCTCAAACTTCCTGCATATGCCTCCCCCCCCTCCCCCATGAAAAGAACACATTATAATAAGAGATTATATTTCACCTCTTCAACAAGTTAAGTTAGATCAATCATCTATTCATCAATCCAAACTAGTTCGGGTTGGTTATATGAATCCTTGTATCCATTCCGCTCTATCCAGATTCGTTCATTCCAGTACTAAATTATTTTTCTTTTAAGGCAAATTAGGGGTTGCGTAAGATAAATGTTCTCTAATTCTCACACTTATCCAGCTGCGGACATTGTTGTTTATATCTAGAATGAAAAGACTTGGTAAATGCTGGACCTAATGTAAGTATAACAAAAATAATTAAAGTTTAGTCTTAACTAGTCGGTATTTCCCATTTGAACCCTCTGCCTCCATTCTGTTAAATTCTTAGCTAAGAAGGCATTATTTAGAGATTCTAGGTGTTTTGAAACAACTTTATCTCCATTAGATTTTAGGTATATCTAATCTCCTTTTACCTTCAATTATCAGAAAAAGTTGCTCCTACGTAGCAATCTGTATCTAATCTTGTCCAATCTTCTATGGCCACACATTAAAACATTAGAATTATATGCTTCCATTTTACAGGGAAGAGACCTATCAGTGGTTATGCTTTCTACAGTGTTGCAGTAGGCTATCATTCTTCGTGTTCAATGCATATCCTCCTTCTATTTCTAATTTATATGCATCTTTTTTCTCCTTCTAAGTATATCTTGTCATTCCAATATTTTCCCTTCCCATGCATTTTCAATATTTTCCTTTTCAATCTAAAATACAAACGCTTATTCTCTTTTATTACTTAGGTATGGTGGAACCATTACTAACCAAATAAAGAGACTTGGTGCATCCTGTGATTGGACCAGAGAACGTTTTACCCTTGATGAACAGCTGAGCAGTAAGACTGCCTTCCATTCAGTAAAACTCCCATCAACTCTCTGGTGCGAACGTGTCTACATAATATGGATATCAACTCTCTAGGCTAGCAAGCTATGAATTCTCTAAGGGGCTCTTCAGTTCATCTGTCTTCTTACTTTGTCATTCTATGCACTGTTTCCCGATAATATTTATTACATCTGGATGTACCTGGTCCTGTGTCAAGATGTAGATGAATACTAGTCTAGTGATAAAATGTGTATTATTTCTTGTTTGTTATATATATATCATCAATTTTCATAATGGGAGTCTAAATTTTAAAATTTCGATTGTTGCAGGAGCAGTAGTTGAAGCATTTATAAGGCTTCATGAAAAAGGGTTAATCTATCAGGGTACACACTGCTTTTCCAAAAAATAATATGATTTTAGTTTGCAAAAGATAGATACTTTTGCTTGATCCAATGAGCTATCCTTGCCAACTCTGTTGTTTTGATGAAAGTAGACTTGCCTCAAGAACTTCATGACTTTAATTTTTCCGAGAGTAGTATTGCCCTTTTCTATATTATGTTTTGGGTTTTTTATTTTTCTATTCGGTTGAGGGTTGTGGTGGCGTTGAGAGTATGTGGTAGTTCTTCTGCGATAGAGTATGTTTTCCTTTTATTTCCTTTTGGCCCGTCTTTTGAATAGATATTGTCTCTGATGACAACCAAAATTTAATGGTATCATAGATGAATTTGCTTTACGAACAGCAAAAACAACGTCTTGGCTGTGAGAAAGATAATGGAAGGATGTGGGGAGCTAACCTCGGGGTATATGTACGGCACAAAATACAACAACAACAACAACAACAAAAAACCCAGTTTAATCCCATACATGAGGTCTGGGGAGGGTAGTGTGTACGCAGCCTTACCCCTATCCTAAATGAACGGCACAAAATGAACATCTACATTCCACTTGGTTGTGTTGATAAGAATTGTTCAATCCTTTATTATAAGCTTTCCCAATCATTGTTGCTGAAGGATAGCGGTTTGCGGAGACAAATTTCAACATTCTGCAGCATACACAATTGCTAAGCATTTTTCTCTTCGTCGGATGTTGACGACTGAAGTTATTCCTGTTCCTCTAATTTTACTTGATCTTTATAGAAGCAAAACTGCTACTCTGGAGCATTCAAACCTAAAGTACTTCTATGTAGAGCTGAAAGTAATTTGGAGCATCTTGTTGAGACATAATATAATTAAGTAGTAAAAAGTGTGTTCCCTATAAGAGCTTAAGCTTTTAAATGAGATGGTTACACATTTCAACATGGTACCAGCGCAAGTAAGAGGTCCTGAGTTCAAATCTCACCGCCACCCAAAAAGCAAAAGATATTCCATGTCTTGGGCCCATGAAAAAAAGGAAGAAAAGAATCAGGTGTATAAGTGAGGGGGCATCTTGAGACATAACATATATCAGTTAGAAGTGTGCTTTCTCTAAGAGCTTAAGCTTTTAGATGAGATGGTCATACATTTCAACACTTCCTTTAGAAGCATGAACCCTGGATGACTTGCCTGTCTAACTTATGGACTCATATTGCATTGGATCTCTTCACATGGAAAAAGTAGTGCTGTTGATAAACCCTTCAGGGTCAAATAGCATTTGAACTGCACTGTTTTTAATCTAATACTGGACTCGACTCACCAGTCTTTCTGCAAGATGCATAACAAGTAAACCTAAATGTTCTTCTGGATGTCAACTTTCACCTAAATCCCTTAGCTGTCAAATCGGAAATTTGCAGGTTCTTACATGGTTAATTGGTCTCCTAATTTGCAGACTGCAGTTTCAGACTTGGTATGCTATTTATGCAGTTGGAAATACTTGCATCTTCTATGCTTCTCTTGTTAATTAGTGGTTAAATCTCAGTGGTTAACAGAATTTCTTTTCCACCTCAGGAAGTAGAGTATTCTGAAGAACCTGGTACACTTTATTACATCAAGTATCGTGTTGCTGGAGGTTCAAAGTAAAGACATGTACTTGCAGCTAATCACTTTTATTTTCTTCTTGACTTCAGTTTAATGCTGTAAACTATCCATTTAAGTGATCTTTGAAATGGTAGTATGGATATGAGACTTTCACCAGTCCAGTAGCTTCAGTGACTTTATACTTTTTGTCTTGCTGCTAAGAGGGTTTTCTTTTTCACTAAGTTGCCCAATCCGTGCCCTAGCTTTGTTTGCTTTCAGCCGCAATCAAATCTAGCTATTTCACTCAAAAGAAATTGGTATGAACAAGTCTTTTTTGTTTTTGACGCAATATATATTAAGATAAGTTCTGTATTTCGTAAACTATTGTTTGGTTTATAAAAACTACATAAAATATTTTCCTCAAGGAAATGGTTTACAGTAAATACAGAAACAGCTTATGTCTTTTAAGGGAGTATCAATGCGATATTAGCTGCTTATCATCATCATTCAAACAGCAAGCCAATGCCACGACCAATTAGATTTCGGAATCAGTTTATGAAATAGCTTTCTTCTGTATAACATTTCCCACAGTAAAATTTTCAGAACTTTTATGTTGTAAATAGGGCTTCACTCTAGTCAGACACAAGTGAAATGCTGTTTCACTTAATGTATCTTTTGGTCACACAATATTAGAAAATTGAACACGCTTTCAAGTTATTGATAACATGATTTTCAATTTGTAACTGCTCGCTGCGAGCCTTAATTGTAGCTGAGATTCTAATTTTCCTATCAGCCAAGTTCTGTGCTTATTTTTCTTCACTATTGGGCTTTGGCTATTTGCTGTTCTGTGTAGCTTATAAAAGGGTTTATCCAGTTAATTGCTTTATGAGCAACGTAATTCTTTTTCCCAATGTTCTAATTTGGTTATTTCTTATTAATTTTTTAAAATTTTTGGTGCAGGAATGACTATTTGACAATTGCAACCACACGCCCAGAGACTTTATTTGGTGATACTGCTGTTGCTGTTAATCCTCAGGTATGTCGCCCTTAACTATATCTAATCAGAATTCAGAAATGATTTTTCTCAAAAGAGGGGAAAAATTATTGCTCCTGTTACATTTCATATGACGATATTTGACTGGAAATGGAGTAAGTTAATTCGATTTATATATTAGAAGAAAATACCTTATAAAGATAGTATATTAATGTAATGGGTTTCATACAGTAAACATTACTGTACATGTTTAATACATTACTGGAAATGGGCTGTTGTCTCCTTATATGGTTTTGGGCAATCCTTATCTCTTGACCTAGCTTTGGGTTTGAGTTAGGTCTAAGGTCCATTTTCTTATCGGAAAGCATAGAAAAGGTCTGGTTTGCATCAACCCAAAATGTTCTAAGCCTTGGAGGATGAAGGCCTTTTAAGTGCGTTATCGCAGAAGTTTATGTTGGCAAAGTAAGTCTGCCTTGCCCTCGAGCCTAGAATAAGCAATCGCCAGATTAAACTCTACTAACACATGCTTGAATTGTTAGAATTCATGCTCGTGAATTCGTATCCAAGCATTTTATGGTGTCTCAGTAGTTGCTAATTGTGTTCTATTGATAGTTTTGCACATTGGGGTTTCTCATTTATGAATATTGTGTCATAAGATGTCACTTCCTCCTCAAGTTTTAACTATTTGAGAAAGAAGAATTTTTTTGCTTGCCTATGCCCTTAGTATGCCTACCTGCACATTCCTATGTGCTGGCCGAATTGAATTATTCTGATGAAAAACTGAACACATGGAAGAGTGCTTTGCTTACAGTCTATTTGGTCGCATTGTATGTCATCACGTCATGTATGAAGAATTTAATCAAGAGAAGTTGGTAATTTTTCTTGTGTCTTGTATAACTGTTTTCTATATATAGAGTCAAATGATTCTACAGAGAAATCGGAATCCCTTTCCATGTGAATCTGCATTTGATGTATTGGTGATGCTGTTTTGCAGGATGAACGTTATGCTAAGTTTATAGGAAAGCAGGCTATTGTGCCCTTGACATTTGGTCGCCATGTGCCAATTCTCTCTGACAAGGTAGGAAAAATACTTCTCCTCTAGTGAGACTAGGTTTGACTTCTCTTCGAGCTCAAAGTATATGATGTGATCTCTAATGGTAGGTGAAGTGTCACCTGGAGGAATGAGTCACAAGTTTTTAATCTTGTCAGCCCATACATTGTAACTATTTCTCTGAAATTTGAGTCAAGAACTGATGCCCATGCATATATCTGTTGTCAAAGGCACGCTTAAAGCGTGGTTAAATCCCTGAAGCAAGGCGCAAAACATGTTGAGCGCTTCACCTTGCTTAGCGAGCGCTTCAGTGTTGTCACCTAGTCTCTAAGGCATACTTTTACTTGCCAATGAGCGTTATCCTAAAGAAACGACACTAAAAAAACGATATTTCACTTCTGTGAGAAGTATACCACGGAAAAGTTCTATTAATTATTTCTTAAGTGTTGTACAATGCCCTATTTATATATAGTGATTATATAATAATAGGTATCTACTTCCCGATGTGGGACACTATATATTACTAACCATTTAACACTCCCCCTCAAGCCGGTGCATATAAATCATATGTACCGAGCTTGTTACGGATGTAACTAATACGAGAACCACTACCAGTAAGAGACTTGGTGCAAAATATCAGCAAGCTGATCTTTCGACTTCACAAACTTGTAATAATATCTCCTGAGAGTCTTTTTTCTCTGACAAAGTGACAGTCGATCTCATGTGTTTAGTCCTCTTATGGAGCACCGAATTTGGGCAATATGAAGAGCAGCTTGATTATCACACACCAGTTCCATCTGTCTGACTTGTCCGAACTTCAACTCCTTTAGCAACTGCTTGATCCAAACTAACTCACACGTTGCCAGAGCCATGGCTCAATATTCTACTTCTGTGCTAGATCGAGCCACTACATTCTGTTTCTTGCTTTCTCAAGAGACAAAATTACCTTATACTAGAACATAACAAGTGATCCTGCCCAATCAGCATATGTGTACCCAACAATCTGCTCATGGCCTCGATCCTCGAATAGTAATCCTTTACCCGGAGCTGACTTTATATACCGAAGAATACGAACAACTGCATCCCAATGACTATCACATGGAGAATCCATAAACTGACTTACAACACTCACAAGAAAAGAAATGTCAGGTCTAGTTAGGTAATTTAATTTGCCAACCAATCTCCTTTATCTCGCAGAATCGCTAAGAAGCTCCCCCCTGTCCGGGCAGAAGCTTAACATTCAGATCCATAGGAGTGTCAACAGGTATGCAACCCATCATTCTTGTCTCCTCAAGAATGTTTAAGGCACTTCCGCTGTGAAATAATAATACCGGAGCTAGACTGAGCGACCTCAATACCTAGAAAATAGTTCAATTGCCCAGATCCTTAGTCTAGAAGTGCCGAAAGAGATGCTGCTTCAGATAGTAATACCATCCTGATCATTGCCAGTAATAACAATATCATCAACATAAACCACCAGATAAATACACAGATTATGAGTAGAATGCCGAAAAAACATAAAGTGATCAACTTCACTACGAGCCATGCCGAACTCCTAAATAACTGTGTTGAACTTACCAAACCAAGTTCCAGGAGATTGTTTCTATCCATAGAGTGACCTGCGTAATCGACATACAAAACCACTAGACTCCCACTGAGCAACAAAATCAGGTGGTTGCTCCATATAAACTTCTTCCTCAAGTTCACCATGGAGAAAAACATTCTTAATATCTAACTGATAAAGAGGCCAATGACGAACAACAACCATGGACAAAAAGAGGCGAACATATGCTACTTTAGCCACGGGAGAGAAAGTGTCACTATAATCAAAGCCCAAATATCCGAGTTTATCCTTTTGCCACAAGACGAGCCTTAAACCGATCAACCTGGCTAGTCGGGCCGGCTTTTACTGCATAAACCCAACGACAACCAACGATAGAACTTACCCGAAGGAAGAAGAACAAGCTCCCAAGTGCCACTCGCATGTAAAGACATCTCGTCAACCATGGCTTGTCGCCATCCTGTATGAGATAATGCCTCACCTGTAGACTTAGGAATGGAAATAGTGGACAAAGATGAGACAAAGGCATAATGAGGTGATGATAGACGATGATAACTTACACGACATAATGGGGATTAGGATTAAGTGTGGATCATACACCTTTTCGGAGTGCAATTGGTGGACTAGGAGGAGACAAGTCCGCAGTAGGTGCAGAATCTGATGCAGGACGTGAATCATCTGGGCCTGATGCTGGACGTGGACGACGATAATAAGTCAAGAGTGGTGGCCTTGTGGGTAGGGATGTAGGAGGAGCACCTGTAGGCTCCTTAAAAGTCTATATAGGTAGTAATGGTTGTGGTGGTGCTGTGGATGTGGATTCCTCACAAGTAGGTACATGTAATACCTCAGATATATTACGATGATCAAAAGAAGTATAGTAAGGTTGTGACTAAAAAAATGTGACATCTGACATAAGATACCTAAGAAGGTCATGTGAGTAGTAGCGATACCCCTTTTGAACCCGAGAATAGCCAAGGAAGGCACACTTAAGAGCACGAGGAGCTAACTTATCTTTCCCGGGAGCTAAGTTGTGAACAAAACATTTACTCCCAAAAACACGAGAAAGAGAGTATAAGGGTGACTTAAGGAACGATACGGAATGTGGAATCTGATTCTGGATAGCAGACGAGGGCATCCGATTAATTAAGTAACAAGCTGTAAGAACTGCATTGTCCCAAAAACGTAGTGGAACATGGGACTGAAGGAGAAGTGTGCGAGCAATTTCATTGAGATCATGCCTATTTTTTCTCTTTGCTACCCTATTCTGCTGAGGGATATACGGACAAGATGTTTGATGGATAATTCCTTGAGAGGTCATAAACTGCTGAAATTGAGAGGATAAGTATTCTAGAGCATTATCACTACGAAAAATGCGAATAGAAACACCAAATTGATTTTTAATTTCAGCACAAAAATTCTAGAAGATGAGAAACAACTCGGAACGATCTTTCATTAGGAAAATCCAAGTACATCTGGAGTAATCATCAATGAAGCTAACAAAATAACGAAATCCGAAGGTTGAACTAACTCTACTAGGACCCCATATATTAGAATGAGCTAAAGAAAAAATAGACTTGGAACGACTCTTAGCACTACGCGGAAAGGTGGCTCGGGTATGTTTCCCAACTTGACACGACTCACAATCTAATGTAGACAAACTAGACAAACTAGGTACCATCTTCTGAAGCTTGGAGAAACTCAGATGTCCTAAACGTCTGTGAATTAGGTCTGGATGATCTGTAATTGGACATGTTGTGGGGGGATTGAGTGAATTAAGGTAGTAAAGGCCTTGTGATTCACGCCCTGTGCCAATCCTCTGCCCCGTACTGCGGTCCTGCATAATAAAAGAATCATCAATAAAATATATACCACAATGGAGGGTTCGAGTCAAACGACTAACATATGCAAGACTAAAAGGACAACTAGTGACATAAAGAACGGAATCTAGAGTGACAGAAGATGAAGGATTAGCTTCCAACTCCTTTTGCTTTAGTTTGGAACCCATTGGCTAAATTAACAATAGGAAAAAACTGTGGATACACAATATTCGACAAACGTGATTTATTACCAAAGATATGATCAAAAGCTCCCGAGTCTATGACCCACTGTCCAAGAATACTAGATTGAAAAGCACAAGCAAAAGAATCGCCAGCAACAGAAAATCCCTGGTTATCTATAGTCTTGGCGTGAGCAAAATGAGCGTTTCTGGGTGCCATGTAAAGAATAGCACATTTCACGAGTGTGTCCAAGTTTATTACAATAAGAGCACTTGGGCCAAGATCTCCCAAAGCGACCTCTTCCTCATCAATTCTCTGTAGCCCGAGATGTCCGATTTTCCATTGTTTGAGATGCGAGAATAGAGGAGTCAACAGTTGGTGGTGAGACCACTGTGTGACTGGCTGGCGCAGCAAGACGAAGCAATCGAGAGAATAGTTCATCAACTATAGGGACGGAAGGACTAGCCAAAATTTGGTCTCTCACCGAGTCAAGGTCATTAGGCAGTCCAATAAGTGTAAGAACTAAAAACATCTTCTGTTGTTGCTCTTGTTGTTTTTCAACACTAGCAGTGACTGACATCAACTTCTCAAATTCCTCCCTAACTGCCTGCACTAGTCCCAAGTAGGTAGACATATACAATTTATATTTCTTTAAGTTTGTCATCTGAGATATCACATCCTAAAAACGGGATATGTCATTAGTGTATAAAGTACGAGCCTTCTCCCAAACTGAATAACATGTCTGAAATAGACGAAACAAAGGCATTTCTTGGAATCAATCGATCGCCACAACAAACTACATAATTGATCACAATTTTCTCCCATAGTGATTTGGCCTTTTCATCTCCATCACTAGTCTTCTTGGCCAGGTGATCTTGAACACCTTGACCCTTGCACCGCAACTCAACAGAAGAAGCCCAGGCTAAGTAGTTTGAACTTCCTATTAAGGGTTTCGAAGTAATCATCAAACTTGAATTTCCAAAACCCATGCTTTTAGAACCAACAACATCAAGTCCCAAAGACATTGTTGGACCAAGTAGCACATACAATCAAGAACAATAAAAAGGCTCACAGGAACTGTGAAGAAAAAATACTGTATCTCGCCGGAAACAAAAAAGTTGCCAGAAGTCTCGCCGGAAAATTTTGAAAAGTGATCGGAATAAAAAGAAAATAGTAGGATAGGCTCGGAAAAGGTAGGCGACCATACTGTTCTAAAGAACTTTTTCAAAAAGTGACCGGCAAAGGCTCCATGCCCTGACGCGTGGAGTAGATCTCGCCGGAATTTCTGACCTCTGATCAGCACGTGAGAGCGCGTGAGGAGTCGGTTGCCCGAGATTTTTTCTAGGGTTTGGTTGTGGAAGGCTGGGGACCCTATGGTGGTGTTGGTTTTCACACAACACCAACAGATGACGCAATCAGCCCTACAAAGTCGCCGGAATTTGACGCACGACGACTGTTTGACTTTCCCATGTGTCTCACTCACGCTCTGATACCATGTGAGAAGTATAGCACGAAATTTTTTTATTAATTATTTCTGAAGTGTTGTACGACGCCCTATTTATATACAGTGATTACATAATAATGGGTATCTACTTCCCGATGTGGGACACTATACGTTACTATCTATTTAACATCTTCATACTACCTTTTTCAATTTCCTTGTCCACATATTTGTTATTCGTGCTTATATTTTTTAGTCTTGGACTACATATACTATTTTGTATTTTTTTCTCCATTTGTATGTTTCTTCATTAAAGGCCACGCTTTAATTGTGTTTTGCGCTTAAAGCCCCGACAGACCTTAGAGCTTTTTTGCGCTTTTTTGCCTTTGATAACACTGATACAAGTGGCTCTCCTCCGTAGACCATATCTATTGTTATTTCTTGCGCCTATTCTGCTATCTACTCTCCTTCCATGCTTACCTTCTCTTATTTCTTTTTGGATGCCTACTAGTCATTATACAAAGTTTTGATGGCCTGTGTTAGAGAATTTATTAGCCGTCAGCAGTACAATAGTTCCGAAAGGGGTTATAATGTCCTAGGATATTCCACATGTTGCCTTAAAGTTTTGGATTAGATAATCAGATTCTTTCCCATGGTATAAGGACTGAATTTCTGTTTGCCTGTATTCTTTCCTACCTATTCTATCCCTTTGGGCTTCCTCTCTTAACTTAACCTTTTGAGCCAGCCTACTCCCTCTCCTCCAGGCCCACTTCTTATCTTTATGAGTGTCCAGATGAGTACATTCGCTCTGCTCCAGGCCCACTGTTCCTGTTAAACTTCGTCACACTTCTAAAAAGAAGAAAAGATATAAAAAGATCTTCAGTTCACATGTTAACCTTGGAACTTGGTTACATTTAGGAGAGGACGTTAGAGAACCTCTCCCACGTTGGTTGCATAATGGTTTCTAAAGGAGTTATATGTTCTGGGTTTAGATTATTTCACTGCTTGGCTCTTTCATTGTGGATGGTTTAGATGCTTGGGTGCAAGTTTGTCCTATAAAAGTTTAGAAGATTTTGATCCTTAACTCTACATTTCTATATTCAAACATAAGGCTCATTGGAACAAAAAATGTTTAAGATGTTTTCCTTTTTCCATTTGAAAGAATTGTAAGGTTGTTAGGGTAAGTTTTGCTAATGCATGATTTATTACAGTATGTCGACAAAGACTTTGGAACTGGTGTATTGAAGATAAGTCCTGGACATGATCACAATGATTACCTCCTTGCTCGCAAGCTTGGTCTTCCTATACTTAATGTGATGAATAAAGATGGGACCCTAAATGAGGTGGCTGGGCTATATGCGTAAGTAACAAGCTTCTTTCCTATTGTTAGAGCACTGTTGGTTTTTGAAAGATTATAATTTGTTTTGTGCATGGTTATTCCATTTTTTCAGTGGCCTTGACCGGTTTGAGGCAAGAAAGAAACTTTGGTCAGATCTTGAGGAGTCGGGTTTGGCTGTGAAGAAAGAGGCTCACACTTCACGAGTTCCTAGATCCCAGCGTGGTGGAGAAGTGCGACTCTTATGTTCTGCTCTTTATTATGTGAAAGTGATAAAGAAGAAATAATTCCTTTATCCAGGCTTTGTTCTCACGTTACTTTTGTTTTCAGATTATAGAACCTCTAGTGAGTAAGCAATGGTTTGTCTCGATGGAGCCTTTGGCTGAGAGGGCACTTGAAGCAGTTTCAAAAGGAGAATTGACTATTATGCCTGAACGATTTGAGAAGGTATGGAGATCATATTGGTAACTGTCTTGCTTCATATGGCTAAAAAATCATTTACTTTTGAGCTTTTTTTGTAAGCTCTTCTCTGTTTATACTTTCATTGTTTGAGTTTCTTAGGCTTCGAAAAATGCTAGATGTTGCCTCACATTCAACTTGAGGGAATCGACTGCTTTTCATGTGCTCAATAATATTATACAAGAAAAAGTTGTTGCTTAAACTGTTTTGTCTATTACGCGGGGTTTCCATTAGCTTCTTATTCACTTTTTGCATCTAAGCCTTCTACATATTTTGATTCTATTGGTCTTTCTGATCAACGGAAAGCTTTTTGTTGGGATAATCCAGTAGGTGAAGAGTCTGAGGACCGCATCCATGGAGTTGTTGGGGAGAATGAAAGCACTAGAGCTGGTGATATATCATTATATGAGGCTTACAGACATGCTCTTGTTGTATTAGCAGTAAATTATATTTGTGGAACAAGTTGAGAATGTGTATTTTTGCTAATGAAGCTATGGTATTTGTTAAGGATGTATTCACTTATCTGGTAATCTAGCTTTAGTTGCACCAAAAAGTTAAAAGTTTGAGAACAGCCTGATTGCCTATCATCCTCGACTAGTTTTAGTAGGTTTTCATTTGCCTAATTATGTGTGTTCTCTCCTGATGTGCTGCAGATATATAACCACTGGCTCTCGAATATCAAGGATTGGTGTATAAGCAGACAGTTATGGTGGGGACACCGAATACCAGTTTGGTATGTTTCTGGTAAAGACTGTGAAGAAGAATATATTGTTGCAAGGAGTCACAGAGAAGCTCTCTCAAAAGCCCAAGAGAAGTATGGGAAAAATGTCGAAATATATCAGGATCCAGATGTTCTTGATACCTGGTTTTCGAGGTTGTTTGTTTAACTTGCTTATTTCCTCTTGAACTCCACTTGGGTATTTTTATGAAGCATTTGGATGTTTATTAATCTAGAATAAAAAATCCATCCTTTTGAACAATGTAGACTTCTATGTTTTGTCGCAATTTACAGTTCAAAGCTCCATGTCTTAGCTAGCTGTCTCCCAAGCTTCTTCAAGGTTTCTGGAATAAGTTTTCATTGTTATTCTTGTCTTATTTGTCACAGAAACTCAGTCTTATCTTATTATCACTTGGTGTCGACAGTTGGCTATGAGCTTGTCAGCTCTATTCATCACCAATAGGGGCCAATGTTCATCAATAAGCGCCAACTGCTGTTCTCATTTTCGATTTTGTTTCAATGATATTATTGGTTCTCCTTTTTTCTCTAATATTCTCAATTATCATCTTTGCCCTTCAACATGCATCAAGCCTTTCTTTTGGGATATATTTCGTAATTTTGTAAATCTGATGCTTCTGAGTTTATTCTCTATCAGCACCACATTATCGTATCTCAAGAGAAGTGTGTTGTTTCTTCTCATCTTCTTTTCTGCAACTGTGAAATTTTGACGTTAATTTAATTGTTATTTCGATTTTATGCATTTTAAACCTTCAGTCTTCGCTTTTGATGCTACTGGAATTTTCTACTTCTGCTTTTCATTAAACTACGAATTTGATAATATTTTGCTTTCTGGTTTAAATTACTGGCAGTCTTCACATGATTTTGGTCCATGTGGTTGCTGAGTTTCTAGTATCTCTGATTGAAGTCATTGTTCTTTCCTTTCAGTTCATTGTGGCCCTTCAGCACTCTTGGATGGCCAGATGAGTCAGCGGAGGATTTCAAGCGGTTCTATCCAACTTCCGTTCTTGAAACTGGGTTTGTACTTATTCCCTTTTCTTTTCTATCCCCAGACCCACTTGTGGGATTTTACTGGGTTGTTGTTGTTGTTTCATAAGGGAGTTCAAGGGTTTGCATTCTTCAACTTTTCTGCATCTCCTAATGGATGAGTTATTTACCATTTGATTTCCCATAGTTCAATGTATAACCCCCAACTTTTTTGGCTGATCTTTCCTCTTCCCGTCCTGCACTGCACAGCCTTGAATTTCCCCTGCTCTCTTTCTCTCTCGCATTGATAGCAGCAACGAGAATATAAGGAGACCTAAGGTTCCGACATACACATGAGGTTCAGAAATGGACATGCTAGAGAAATAACTATAAAGTAAAACCCTCCGAATACTGCTACTGACAATAACACAAAAATCCTAACCTTAGTGATGATTGAAACAGCACACACCTTTGTCTGCAATGAAATACACGTAAAACTTTTTCTTGGCAATTTTTCGTTTTGATTTGCTATTACTACGTCATTTAAATTTTATTTGTTGCGAATTATATGTCTTGCAGTTAATTATTTGTTACAAAACTTGTCAGGTTTATGGTAGATATTTGAGTTTTCTCTTCTTTCTGCAACTGTTGATTTAAGCTTTGGATAGGATTAGGGATCCTGATATTAATATACCTACTAGACTCAATTCCATAGTAAATCTTGTTCCCTTCAATCACTTAGTCCAAATCCATCTAGCAATCAAGATGGAAAAACAATGGAAGTATCCTTCCTGTCCATTTAACAAACCTATTGATGGAAATATGCAACTTCACTTGGTGTTAAACAAAAAGAAAGAAAGTAGATACATGCATTATTTATGATCTTAGTTTATGCTGGTGACGAGATGTTATCACTTAGACCTTGAATTCGATATGGTTCCTTCTTTCCTATTTGAGGATGTTTAGTGCCTTGAAAGAAAAATCGGGAGGTCCCTCCATCTAAAGTTAGGTGAGGTAACCTAATTTTACTACCTTGGTTAATAGAGCAACTATTGACTTCTGTTACATTTACTTGAAATGGGGCCAACAGTGGAGAGGCTTTTTGATGAATTCAAATTAGGAGGGACCCTATTTTATATGAAGCAAAAATATTAGTATATAAGAATAGAAGTACATTTTTTAGCTCATAAAGCGCTACAAATATGCAACATGAATTACTAATGGCTGCATAATTCATTAATACTGGTATACTTAAAGTTGGTTTTTACTTTCTAAGAAATTTGAAAGAAAGTTGACTTTACATCATGCCGAGCTTCTTTGTTCCGGCTGCTACTCATGTCGGTGGATTCTATATGCCCATGGCATTAGATTGATTAAGCCAAAAGTTACGAGTTATACCTAGCAGTTCTTTGAGATGAAGGAATTTCAATTTAGTGCTTGGCTCTACTAGTGAGACAGTCTATGTAGGATTTGTTTCTAGCAACCAACCTCCCAAAATAAAAAAGAAGGGAAAACTCAACTGAATTAAAAAATAAAGTAAATTGTGAAATACGAGAGAAGGGAAGCGATGTTATTTTTTACCTTTTAGTTTGATAACCGAGAAATACACTGTTTAACGATTTGAAACTTGGTGGATAATTGGCCCATCCCTCTACCCTTCTCCACTTAAATGCTAGACATGGTTTCCTAGTAGGATATGAACTCGTGTTGTGCACTTGCTATACATTTGTGCACCGTGCTGTACTCCTTTCGCCGTTGGCCAAAGCTTTGGGTTTGAGATGTATTGATCACTTGACGATACCGGTGAATATAAGTACATATTTATAGGTGTGAGATATAATCAATGATGAGAGACAAACTTATATTGACTCTTCATTGTAACGTTCTAACACAATAACATGCACCATCAGACTCAAGTTGAGGAAGAGAAGTCAAATTGTGTCCATTTATTTGTAATGTTAGAGAATTAATGTATATAGGATGATTAGTCCCACAATTGGAATAAGAGTAGTATGTATTGTGTAGAATGTAGATATGAATAGGGGGCCTTGTATTATAGCAAATGGCTGAGTATCAATAATATTTTTCCGTGCTATTTCTCACCTGGTATCGGAGCTTTCGTGAGAGAGTTTATCATTGTGCAACATACCGGCGCCTCTGAAAAAAAAAAATAAGAAATCACTCACCGTGCAATTTTTCTGGCGACTGAGAGTTATCCTCCTACATTGTCAAACGATTAGATCTTGGTCTCTATAGGTGTTATGCAAAATCCGACAACACCATCAAATTTAGCATGGTCCGGCGACCAAACCCCACAAAACCCCGCCGGTAGATTCCCTTCCATGCGCCCCTATGCTCCATGCAAAAGTAGAATGCTGGTAAAATATAGAGTGATTAGCTTCACTATGAGTCATGCTAAATTCCTGAATAACTATGCTGAACTTATTAAATCAGGCTCGAGGAAACTGGTTCAGACCATAGAGGGACCGACTCAACTGACATACAAGGCCGGTAGATGGATTTTGTTACCTAATCCTTACTAAATCACATAGACTCATATCTCGTCCTCCTTTAATAGCTTGTCTTGTCATTGAGTGATCAGATTTATTGCATAAAGGGTTGGGACATCCAAGTTTATCAAAACTTCAGAAAATGGTATTTGGTTTGTCTCACTTGTCTACTCTAGAGTGTGAGTCATGTCAGCTCGGTAAGAATACTCGCTCCCATTTTCCTCGGCGTCTTGATAATCGGGCAGTTACCTTTCACTTTAGTCCATTCAGATGTTTGTGGTCGTAGTGGTTCAGTTCTACCTTGGGATTCCGCTACTTTGTCAATTTCATTGATGAATATTCTAGGTGCACTTGGATACTCTTGGTGCAAAATTGATTTGAGTTATTTTCTATTTTTCAGATCTTCCATGCTGAAATTCAAAATAAATTTGGAATTTCTATCTGCACATTTCGTAGTGATAACGTTCCAGAGTATTTGTCATTCTCCATTTCAGCAGTTTATGAATTCTTGTGGGATTATTCATCAAATATCTTGTCCATACACATCTCAACAAAATGGGGTAGCTGAAAGGAAGAATTGACATCTCATTGAGACTACTCGTAATCTACTCATACAATCTCATATTCCGTTGCGCTTTTTGGGGGGATGCAGTCTGTACATCTTGTTATCTTATTAATCGTATGCCATTCTCAGCTATCCAGAATCAAATTTCATTCTCTGTCTTGTTTCCCTATTCACCTCCCCCCCCGCATATCTTTTGGGGGACGTGTTTTGTTGATAACCTTACTTAGGAAAAGATAAGTTAGCTACCCGTGCTCGTAAGTGCGTATTATTAGGATACTCGAGAACGCAAAAGGGATATTGATGCTATTCACTTGATCTCCAACGGTGCCTTATGTCTGCTGATGTTACCTTCTTTGGAACCCAATCATACTTCACTAGTCCAAGTGATGACTTAGACATCTCTGAGGTGTTACCAGTTTCATCTTTTGGAGATTCAGGCACTCTCTCTCCTTCATCTTCTACAGCTCCGGCTCCACCACCTACATCTCCACTTTCATCACCTACAGCTACAACTATAGCTACAACTCCACCACCTTACAGCTCCATCTCCATCACCTATAGCTTTAGTTTCATCACCTACAGGTCCAGTTCAACCTTCTATAGCTCCTGACTTATTATCGTCGTCAATGTCCAGCATTTGGTCCAAATGATTCACGTCCTGTATCGAATCTTTCACCTACTGCGAACTTGTCTCCTTATAGTCTACTGATCGCACTTTGAAAAAGTATTCAATCCACTCTTAACCCTAATTCCCATTATATTGGTTTGAGTAATCATCGTTTATTATCACCCCATTATGCCTTTGTTTCATGTCCTCTATTTCTATCTCTAAGTCCATAGGTGAAGCTCTATCGAACCCTGGATGGCGACATGCTATGATTGAAAAAATATATGCTTTACATGCTAGTGATACTTGGAGCTTGTTGCTCTACTTCCAGGTAAATCTACTGTTGGGTGTCAGTGGGTGTATGCAGTCAATGTTGGTTCAGATGGTCAAATTGATCGCCTTAAAGGCCACTTGGTTGAAAAAGGTTTTACTCAGATATTTGGGCTTGATTACAGTGTTACTTTCTCTTCCATGGCTAAAATAACATTGGTTCGCCTTTTCTATTCATGGCTGCTGTTCGCCATTGGCCTCTCTCTATCAGTTGGACAGTAAGAATGTTTTTACGACCTTGAGGATGGAGTTTATATGGAGCAACTACCTAGTCTTGTTGCTCAGGAAGAGTCCGGTGCCCTTGTTTGTCGGTTGTGCCGGTCGCTCTATGGTCTAAAATAGTCTCCTCGAGCCTGGTTTGGTAAGTTCAGCACAATTGTTCAGGAATTTGGCATGACTCGTATTGAAGCTGATCACTCTGTGTTTTACGGGCATTCTGCTTCAAATTTGTGTATTTATTTGGTGGTTTATGCTGACGATGTCGTTATTACCGGCAATGATCTGGATGGTATCACTAGTTTGAAGCAACATCTCTTTCAGCACTTCCAGACAAAGGATATGGGCAATTAGAAGTATTTTCTAGGTATTGAGGTCGCTTAGTCTAGCTTAGGTGTTATTATCTCACAACGGAATATGCCGTGGACATTCTTGAGGAGACAGAAATGACAAATTGTAGACCCATTGACACTCTTACGGATCCGAATGCTAAACTTTTGCTAGGACATGCTCCCTCTTAGTGATCCTACAAGATACATGAGGTTGGTTGATAAGTTGAATTATCTCACAATGATTAGATCTGACAAATCCTTTCATGTGAGTGGTGTTGTAAGTTAGTGTATGGACTCTCCCTGTGATAGTCATCGGGATGCAGTTGTCCGAATTCTTCGTTATGTGAAACCAGCCCCAGGCAAAGTAGCATTGTTCGAGGATCGAGGTCATGAGCTGATAGTTGGATACACAGATGCTAATTGGGCAGGATCAACTTCTGATAGACGTTCTACGTCCTGATATTGTGTTGTAATAGGAGGTAATTTAGTGTCCTGGAAGAGTAAGAAACAAAATGTGGTTGCTCGATCTAGTGCAGACGCAGAATATCGAGCAATGGCTCTGGCAACGTGTGAGCTAGTTTGGATCAAACAGATGCTCAAAGAATTGAAGTTTGAAAAAAATTGTTAGATGAAACTTGTGCGTGATAATCAAGCTGCCCTTCATATTGCATCAAATCCGGTGTTCTATGGAGGACTAAACACATTGAGATTGACTCTCACTTCATAAGAGAAAACATGTAAAGTGAGTAAACAAAATTTCATACTCAATCTCATAGATACATATAGAATTCTGCGAAAAGCCGTATTCGATGAAAGTCGTATGTACGGCTTGGAGGGAGATCTTTCATATCTTTCGAGATCCACCCTACAATATATGGGGTGAAAAATCCAAAATAAGTGATTTTAACCCGTATAAAAAAGAAAACGTATTCTTGAACCCCTTTCACGCTCATGTTATGTCGAGGTACTGCAGGAAAAAAAAGAAGCAAAATTCGATCCAATTTATCGTAATCAATTAGTTAACATGTTGGTTAATCATATTCTCAAACACGGATAAACCATTGGCTTATCAAATTATCTATCGAGCCGTGAAAAAGATTTAACAAAAGACAGAAACAAATCCACTATCTGTTTTATGTCAAGCAATACATGGAGTAACTCCCGATATAATAGTAAAAGCAAGACGTGTAGGTGGATCGATTCATCAAGTTCCCATTGAAATAGGATCCACACAAGGAAAAGCCTTGCCATTGCCACTCGTTGGTTATCAGAGGCATCCCAAAAACGTCCGGGTCGAAATATGGCTTTCAAATTAAGTTTCGAATTAGCGGATACTGTCAAAGGGAGTGGCAATGACATACACAAAAAGGAAGATACTCATAGTATGGTAGAGACAAATAGAGCTACGCAAAAAGGAAGAGACTCAGAATGGCAGAGGCAAATAGTGCGTTTGCATATTTTCGTTAATCCATGAACAAGATCTATACATCTCGTTCGGAAAAGTCTCTAGAGAAAAAGAAAGAAGCGGAATTGATCGATAGTTCTCGAACTCGAAACAAACGAAAAGGAAACGAAAGATGATTCAGGAGATATTGTTACAAAGTTTGTAAAGTCAAATCATCAGCTTGCAGATATTCTCATTGGTCCTCGTATTAGTTACATTTGTAACAAGCTCGGTACATATGACTTACATGCACCAGTTTGAGGGGAGTGTTAGAGAATTAATGTATATATGATGCTTAGTCCCACATTCTAATAGGAGTAGTATGTATTGTGTAGAATGTAGATATAAATAGGGCATCTTGTATTTTAGAAAATGAACGAATATCAATAATATTTTCCCGTGCTATTTCTCACATCTAAAAACACAAAATAATAAGTGGCACTGTTAACGGATAGCTTGCCGAACAGCTGCTGGAAGAATCTTGGGTTGCCTGAAATCTGAATATCCCTGGAAGAGTACACTGGAAAAATGGTTTGGACTGGACAAAAATAGCAGCAGGTTCCTGAGAGTGGTGACTGAAAAAAGGAATGGTGTTGCCGGTGCGATCACTGGAAAGAGGTGCTGTGCTGCCAGAACAGTTACAGGAAAGAGGCGCAGTACTCTTGGAACAGTTTGGTGCTGTTGGAACAGTTATCAATTACATGCAACAATAATCTTTGAAAAGAAACTTTTCCTTCCAAAGCTACTTAGTCCTCCAACTAGAAACTCTGTTCTATGTGAGAAATACTAGTAGAGAAGAAAAGAAATGTAATGATTACATGATAAACATGGAATACAAGACACCTATTTATAAGCGCGAGATAGCATCAACACGTTATATTGATCCAATGAGGGATAACTTAATAGTAACTCTAATGTTTTAGCTTTCACATACTAACACTTGACATTTAATATATCTAGGAATATATTTATTGATTTTTTCTTTTCCTTTGTTTCAAGAAAGTCAATAGGTTTCATATTTTTATTTTTAGTTTCTTTTCTAGCCTACCCTGTAATCCGACACTTGTATGTTACTATTGCATTTGACTCCCCTAGATATAGGGGCCTGTGGGTTGATTGGATTGCAAGACTGGCTGCCAATGGTCTCAATGTGTTCATTTTCGTTGATTTAGCAAATTACTAGGGAGCTTTTGTATTCTGGAAACACTTGTCATGTCTTTACTTCCAGCTCTTTTTCTCTTCTATGGTTAATTATTGCCATGTTTCAAAATTATAACAATTCTATACTGCCATAGTCTCTGAATAGTTACTTGGTAACAGGCACGACATACTGTTCTTTTGGGTGGCACGAATGGTGATGATGGGAATTGAGTTTACTGGGACTGTCCCCTTTTCAAATGTTTATCTTCATGGACTAATTCGTGACTCTCAAGTGAGTTCATGCTTTTAAGTTACTTGCTTTGAATGTTAGTCCTTAATCTTCTTGATCCAATTTTTCTGCATAATTTATTGACCATGCTAGTTGATTTATTGTTCAGTGCAGTTACTTGTCCTGTAAATACAATTCTCTTTTGTTTTGTACAAAATGTGCGTCTGGTTGTTGTACATTTGTCCTAAGCCGATGCGTTTAGTTAATTCACATTTCCCTTCCTGCTCTTCGCTACCGTTTCAGCATGAAGGTATGCCTAGTAACATTGTTTTACTACTTGTAAAGAAGAGCTTCTGCTGTTTCGGAGGAAAGAGAAAATTATATTCTTCCTAGTTCTCTGGTGGAAGTGTCCAACTTCTAAAAAAGTTGTTCCAGGCCCTGCATTGAAGTTAATATTTTACAGATATCCCCGAACTTCTCGTTGATTGGTCTTTGGATTGATGGGCTCCAAGTATGCAGTTTTTTTTGAACGTTATGTATATATTTGTGATAATGAGTTGAGATTTGCTGAAATAATTGAATATGGGTTGAACCTGCGGTATCTGCATCTGAGTTTCCTCCTGGACTAATCTCAAACCATCATTAGTTATGATAAGATATGGATTTACATCTCCATTTCCATGCATCTTTTCCTCCATATATTATAGCTTTAAACTTGTCAATGCCCTGTTCCAGGGCAGAAAAATGTCTAAAACATTGGGGAATGTCATAGATCCCCTCGACACCATTGCAGAGTATGGCACAGATGCTTTGCGCTTCACTCTTGCCTTAGGGACTGCTGGTCAGGTTTGTTATGAGCTCATTTTGTCACTAAATCATCGATATGCATATTCCTTTTTCTGCGATGGTGTCCACTTTGGATGCTTTCATCAGCCAGCTTATCTCTTTGTTATAGGATCTAAATTTGTCCATGGAGAGGTTGACCTCTAACAAGGCATTCACCAACAAATTATGGAACGCTGGCAAGTTCATATTGCGGAATTTGCCTCATCAAGATGACACTCTTGCTTGGGAAGCTTTACTGGCCCATAAGGTTTGTCGATTTTGGTGTTTCAACCCAAATATATGTTTTATGACAGTTTGCTTCAAGATCTGTGGATCAGAAGCAGTAAGGCAACAATGCAATACGAATGTTTGAAAGAGCTGAAATACTTATTAAAAAGCAAAATGCCTGGAAGAACTGAGATAAGTATTGCAGTAAATGAAATGAAAAAATGCACTAAATCAGAGATCGTCAAAGTGTCAGATTGTGTTTGGTGATTCACATTGACTATCAGATTGAGCTTCGTGACCAGCATGGGCTTAAATACTAAAGAGCTTAATCCTGGTTGTTGACAAAACTTTCAAACACGTTAAATAGCATAGGCTGGCAACTCAGAAAATTTTCGCTGTTAAATATTTTGGTATATACGCATGTCTCTCAATATTGAAGTCAAGTTGTTCGAGAGTTCTCAATTCTGCATGGCATGCAAATTCACGTCCTAGAACATAGTTGCTCCAAAAGAATTATGTTCTCACCGAAGCCCAAATATTTGGTGTTCAAATCAAGATCCTTGGTTTCTATGTAGATTCTAAAGTGAGAAACTTTTGAAGTACAATGAAATCACTTCTTCCAAATATCTTAGATGGTTATTCACCGGTGAACTTCAATGATTACATAATAAAAAGTAGGAGTAATCCCAAGGTTTTCAAGGGTCCAGAGTTGACTTATGTTTGAATTCTGCATTACGTGCCAATAATATAACATATGAAATGCTTATATATTGCACTATCTACTGTTTTCTCAGTTTGATAAAGTGGAGTCTGTGGTGAAGCTCCCACTACCTGAATGCTGGGCGGTAAGATGATGCTTTTGATCCTTTTTCTGTTGGTAAATACGATGTTCTTAATCCTCATTATGTGCACTATGGCATAACGGTCCTGTTTTACCACTTCTACACCTTTCAGGTATCAAAACTTCATGTACTTGTTGATGAAGTCACTGCAAGTTATGAGAAACTTTTCTTTGGAGATGTTGGAAGAGAAATATATGACTTCTTTTGGGCTGATTTTGCTGATTGGTATGTTCTTCCTATTGTTTTAGGTGCTTTTACGTCATTTTGGTTTCCATGTTAGTCTTGTAATTCTTCTATTTTATTAAGACATTATCCAAAATGTGAACTCTTGACCATCTAGAATGGAAATTATTTCCATTGAACTAATATGCAGAAAGAATGATGTTATTGGTGGATGGGAATTTAATTTGTAGTTCATTCTTATACATTATCTAAAATCTGAAGTGGAGACTATTTTTATTGAAGAGTAATATGCAGAAAGAATGATGGTGTTGGTAGGCATGAAAATTTTATCTGTAATTCATTATTACGCTCTTGCATGGTGACCTGCCTTATTCATGCTTGAAGAACTAGTCCACTGTGACTAAAACAGAGGTCATCACCTCCCGACAAAAACTTAATGATACGTGTTAGGTGTATTAAGAATAAAGTTAAATTACAGTGATAAGAGGAGTAAGCTTAACTGTGAAAAGAGGTTATGAAAATGTTTACTTCTCCTTCATCATGAAACAAGTTTTCTAAATTCTACCATGAAATTGGTGATGATAAAGTGATTTCTGATGCGTTTTTCTTGAGCAGAATGTAAGAGCCTCCTCATTAGTGCTTACCTCGTTTATCTCTTCTTTGCTTACCCTGACAGAAGTTCTCTTGCTTTTCCTTGGTGAAGTGGAATAGGCGAAATTTAAAATGTTAATGAACTTAGATAAGAATGAGATATACATTGCTAATAATATGCCCATTGATGCTCCTTGAAGATGCAAGCTTTAATGTCATGATATTTGTGGGTGTATTGTATTGGAGGAGTATTATTGAATACAGCTGAGTTTCCAAAACATAAAATCTGGTTCTGGACAATTTTAGTTGCATCAATGGCAAGCGTGACATGGAACCTGTTGGAGGGTTTAAGTGATAGGTAATCTACATTATGTTTTGTATAAGAGGGAGACAAATGGGAAGGGGGAGGTGGGCGTGCTTGTTTATTCCCCAAGGCGAACTATTGATCTTTTCATTGGGTAACTTATAGTAACTGGAGTTGGAAGTTTAGTAATGTTCAGTTCCTCCTTCCCTTCCTGCTATAGAGGGGTTGAAAAAGCTGATGTAGAAGTGTAATGTTCCTCGACTTTCCTCTTTTTTCACTTCTGACCCAAAGAAAAGAAAAAGAACTTACCTGTTTTCTTTTATTCTTTTCCTTTAATCCATCCTATCTTCATCCAAACCTTAGCCAAATATAGTATAGCTTTATAATTTATCTATCTCGTCTTCTGTCACTAAATCTCTGTCTACTTTATAAGGTACATTGAAGTTAGTAAAGCTCGCCTGTATCACTCCGGAGATCATTCTGTTGCATCTGTATCACAAGCAGCTCTGCTATATATTTTTGGGAGCATCCTTAAATTGCTACATCCATTTATGCCTTTCGTAACTGAGGAGCTCTGGCAGGTGATGTGATATATCCTTTTACTTTTGTGCTTTGATCAGTGCCTTTTATTGTTTATCTATGTATACTTCATGCCAAATCCGATGATACAAGATGAGTGAGGATTATGCAATGGGATATTTACGAGAACTCGCAAGCTACGGAAAAGAGTTTCTCACTCCGAAAGTCTTAATATTATAGTTGAATAACAAAATATCCATATTGTTTACCTCCTGGTAACTAAAACTTACGTGCAAATATATGGGATGTATGGATAATCTAAATTTTAGTTGTTTACAATGGTATAGTTTTTCTTTTTCAGGGTTTTCACTTAAAGATAGGTGTTTGTTTGAGGTAACATTAAAGGCAATGGAGCTATTTAAATATAGAGTAGTCAAAGGCGAAAAGCTTAAACAAGGCTAAAGTTGCTTTACGCGCATAGCAGAATTAAAGCATTGGCTTTTGCAGGAAAAAACGCTAATGAAGAATACCCAAGTCCCAAGTTAAAAATGTAATGCAAGAAAACATTACTACAAGTATAAATTATACTCCCTCCGTTTCAAATTATGTGAACCTATTTGACTGCGTTCGGAGTTTAAAAAAAAAGAAGACGACTTTTGAAATTGTGGTGTAAAATGAGACACACATATTTTTTGTGGCTATAAATCATTGAATAAAAGTAAATTGTTTTCAAATATGGAAAGGGGTCATTCTTTTTGGCACGAACTAAAAAGGAAATAGGTTCACATAAATTGAAACGGAGGGAGTAATTATTTGGACAGAAGAATTGTCAAACTATGCTTAAGTGAAATATACAAAAAGAATCATGTCAATCAAGTTCATTGACCATTTTAAATTTCTAACTTAGATGAAGATATGTAGTTTACTTTTAACTATTTAGTTGTTAGTTTCTTATACTAAACCTGTAATTTCTTGTTCCTAATCACTAACAATTCAATCGACATATTTTCTTAATGATTAATGTATCACTTTGTGAAGTATATTTACAAGGTGAAGAGATGCATGCGAAGCTCCAAAGCTTATAAGCATGTCTTAGGCGAGCTTTTACCAACACTTGTTAAATTTCATTTCTAGATGTCAGCCAGCGTCTAGTGAATGCATCCCCACTCACTCCCACCCTCACTCCCCTAAAAGGAAAAAGAAAAAGAAAAGAGTGGCTTAAAGCTCGTCAATACATACTATTTTCACACAAGGTCACACTAATTTGTTTATGAGTTCTAATGCTGATCCATAACTTTGGGTCCTAGTCCACTCATAGCTGATTTGAGTCTTCTGGCGTCATAACATGCCAACTTATTACCATTCTGATCTAAGTTGCTCAGACACGGTGCGGATGTCCGACACGGGTGCGGATCTAGAGGTCAGATCCTTCGAGATGTAAATTCTAAGATTTGAGGATACGGATCCTAGTACGGATACGGGTGAGGGATCCTGCTAAAAATAATTCAAACAAATATATAAAAGTATCTCTAAATTATGAGAAATTTTGTGGAATACTTACGTATAGCTTGTAAACTGTAGATTTCTTTTTTATTCTCAAGGTTGTAGATAAGTAAATGATTGATTTCCTAGATAAGGTATGCTATTTTCTTCAAATTTACCCTAGTTTTGGTTCCGATTCCGGGAATTAAATTGTATCTCGTCTCAAATTTTTCCATCTGTCGTGGTCAAAGTGCCTAAAATTTTGACCAGATCCGGTACGGATCCCATGCCCGCACCCATACTAGTGTCGTGGTGACACGGGTGCGGCACCTAAACTGCGGTGTCGGAGCAACTTAAATTCTGATAGTCTTGCATCCTAGTTCTTTTCCCATGTTAATTCTATGTAGTTCTTTACTATAATCATGTCTGTGAAAGGTCAAGCCCCAGTACATCGTCATTATCAGTTGATGAAATGGTCTGCAAATATGTGTTTAAGTAGTAGCATGGTCTTCCACCTAGACTGACTAATTACCTATTCGGTATCACCATAGCTTCTTGTCGTTGATTTCCTGAAATGCATTAATATCTTAATCAGTAGCAGATTCAAACTATGGCTTATTTTATCGATTTTTCTTTAGGAGGATTTGGCTATTTTCTTGTGTTGTCGATCTGAGACCACTGTCATTTATAGTACAACAATAAAATAAAATAGACTGCATAATTTGGAAGTGGTTGTAGAATAACAGATGCAATATTGTCAATGTTGAAGCTGATATAAATTTCTGATTTGTCCAAAGATAGCCAAAGTGGAGACAAGGGATACCCACTTTCAAATAGAAAAGAAATGGAAGGTACCCGTTTGTTTCCAATTCGGTTAACATTGGGAAGAAATAGAAATCTAATATCAGCTTCAATGTTGATGATGCTGGTCAATTATTCCACATATATCTCTACATCAGCTTTTATTTGGCCTTGGGCCTGCTAGCTGATGAGGATGCAAGCAGTAACTTAGCTTGCTGCAAAATCTGGAAATCTTATATGATTATTCAGTTTTGCTTCAATAGCAAAATAGCTTAAGAATACATGCTGTTCTCATTGCAGTTTGACTTCTCCCGTTTCTGCAGGCATTACCCAGTCGACAGGAAGCTCTTATAGTATCTGCGTGGCCACCTACTTCACTTCCCAGGGATATTGATTCCATAAAAAAATTTGAGAACTTACAGGCATTGGTGAGTTTGATTATCAACTTTTCTTGTCCCAATTTTCATTTTATCTATAATTCTAGTTATCCTGGATAATTTATCCCTTCCATCAATTCAGACTAGAGCCATCAGAAATGTACGAGCAGAGTATGCAGTTGAGCCAGCAAAACTTATTTCTGCATCTATTGTTGCAAATCCAGATGTCATTCAGTATATCTCTGTAAGATCTCCACTTTATTCATAAACTTCCCTATGATGATAACTTGTGGACTGTGTTCGGATCACTATTCTTTCTGAAAGGTGGTGGCTATGGTTTTTTGGTATCATTTTCCTGTGTTACTAATCAAACGAATACGATAAAATGCAGGAGCACTTAAAAATTTTGAAATGCAACAAAATTAATGAACTTATCAGTTAATATGCGCCTAGTTTCAAAATATGTCTAGATTCTTTTGATTTTTGCAGGAGATGCTGAAGATTATCCCATGACATTCTATAAGACATTGTAGAATAGTTTGCCTCTCCTATGAAATAATTACTTACCATACTATTCATTTTTTGATTTAAAACATACCATATTATTCATACACTGAGATTCTCAAATAAGGAGCCCTTGTTGACATTGTTGATAATCAATTCACCAAGAACTACTCTCTCATCTTTCCTCTTTTTTACATGGACAAACAGACTTGTGGTGGTTATCATTGCTATCTTGTTTGATGAATACTACGCAATGGGATACATGTTGAAGGAAACATTTTCTCTTTATTCTGTAACACTTCTCATACAAAATTTGACTAGACTAGAAATGATCACATATGATAGAGAGTGTCAGTGACATGTTGAAAACTTGATAGGATAAGACATGATCACATACGATATATAGCGAGTAGCACAAAGAGAAGAATAAATGAGAGGTCGCTTGAGATAGTTTGAGCACATTCGATGTAGACCTCCACGATCATTGGTCTGTAGGTGCAACAGAATGATGATTGCAGATGATTAAAAGGGACAAGCAAGCCTAAAGTCGAATGTAGGAAAATTGCTGTTAGTTAGTTAGTTGTTATGTAAATAAGCATAGTCTTATATGAAATAGGAGTAGTGTAGGTATTGTGTATTGTTATAAATAGGGGTACTTGTATTATAGTTAGTGTACATCTATAATATAATTTTCCCGTGTCATATTTCTCACATGGTATCAAAGCGGCAATGAGAAAATATCCGGGAAAGAAAACCCATCCGAAACAGTCGTCGTGCTTCAATTCCGGCGACCTTTTTAGGGTTGTTTTTCGTCAAACCAATTTCCATCGGTGTTGTGCAAAAACCAACACCACCATAAGGTCCCCCAACCCCCGGCGACCAAACCCCAACAGACACCTCCGGCAGCCGACTTCTCACGCTCCGCCACGCGCCGATCAGAGTCAATTTTTTTCCGGCGAGATCTACTCCATGCGCTTGCGCGTGGAGCCCTTTCTGGCCACTTTTTGAAAAACTTTCTTCAGAAAGGCCGAGTGGAAGGGGGCAGTCAACTGGCTGCTTCTTTGCCATGCGCTTTGCTTCGCTTTATTTTATAAAAGAAAGAGACCAAATGAGAGTGAAAGGCAAGGGCAAGCGATAGAAAGGAGAGTCCCTCGCGCGAACTACTACTACTAGAAAATGGGTGAGACCATTAGTGAACAGTTGGAACTGGGTTTGGCTGAACCCGTACCAAATAGGCAAAATTAACTACATATAGGGTGTCATTGGTAGGAAGGAAAATGTTTTCATGGAAAATGAGTGGTTTTATCACTTATTTTTCCTTGTTTGGTTGGTGAGTGAAAAACTTTTTCCGGAAAATATTTTCTAGTGTTTGATTAAAGAGTATAAAATATTTTTAGGAAAATAATTCTATATGCTACTCTCCTCAACCCACCTCCCCCAAAATCCTCATGTTTCCTATACTCCCCCCCCCCCCCCTTCTTTTCCTCTTTCCTCCTCCGAAACTCTAGTTTCTTCAAGAATTTAATTATTCTTTTCAAAATTCACAAAAATCCGAAGGAACTAATGTGCTAGTTTACTTTTTCACCCAAGAACAACGTTGAAATTTGAGCTCGATACCTAAAAAGAAATTATTATTTCTACCGCATGAAAAGAAATTACTCATTTTGTTGAATGGAAGAAAATATTTTTTCTACATCATGAAAAAAAATACTCGTTTTGTTGAAATGAAATAAAATACTTCTCTACATCATGAAAAGGAAGTACTTGTTTTATTTGGAAAAAAATACTTTTTCTATTTCAGGAAAAAAATTACTCGTTTTTGTTGAAATGAAAGAAAATACTTTTTCTATTTCAGGAAAAAAATTACTCCCTTCGTTTCAATTTATGTGAACCTGTTTGACTGGGCACGGAGTTTAAGAAAAAATGAAGACTTTTGGAATTTGTGGTCCTAAATGAGTTAAAATGGGGTCCAGAGTATTTGTATGGTTATAAAAGCTTCTCATTAAGGGTAGAATTGTAAGTTTAAGCTAAATTGTTTCCAAATTTAGAAAGGGTTCATTCTTTTTGGAACGGACCAAAAAGGAAATAGGTTCACATAAACTGGAACGGAGGGAGTACTAGTTTTTGTTGAAATGAAAGAAAATACTTTTTCTACCTCATGAAAAAAAAGTACTCGCTTTGTTGAAATGAAAGAAAATATTTTTTCTACATCATGAAAAGAATATATTTATTTTGTTGTAATAAAATAAATTACTCTTTTTACAACATGAAAAGAAAGTACTCTTAATAATATTTCTATTTTGGGTGGGAGGTGGGCAAGATTGGGGTGGGTGGGGTGTGGTGGGGGAGTAGGGGTTGGGGTGGTTTGGGGTGGGTGGGATAGGGGTGGTTTGGGGGTGGGATGGATGCGGTGGGTGGGGGTGGGTTGGTGGGGATGGGGAATAGGGTGGAGAAGGTTGAAAAAGAATATTAAAAAATTGTTTTCCCTTCTTTTGACAGGGAAAACATTTTTCTCCAATTGGAGGAAAATGAGTTCATGAGGAAAATATTTTCCAAAACATTTAAGCCAACCAAATATGGGAAAATTGGAAAATATTTTCCGGAAAATGTTTTCCTTCATACCAAACACACCCATAGTGTTCACTATCTGCCTTCTGAGTCAGTGAGGTCAGCTTACCGCATGGCGGCCATATTATAACAGATCAGTCACTTCTGTTTGTTCTCAATTTTGTGCTATATGTTAAATGCATTTCTCTTACCAGAAGAAATTTATATATGCCGATGTGGATATAAGCACATGGCTATCACTTAATGCAGGGAGAGAGGGAAGTTTTAGCTCTTCTTTCAAGACTGGATTTGGGAAATGTCAATTTTGCAGAAGCCCCCCCAGGTATGTCGAACTCAAGTATCACACGTTGCAAAAGGTTGATAAACCCCGCATCGTTAGAGCTCTCTGGTTGAATGTTCTTTTTCGTTGTAGTTTTATCTTAATATGAGATGAATTGCAGGAGATGCAAATCAGTCTGTCCACGTTGTTGCTAGTGAAGGTCTAGAAGCTTATCTTCCTCTATCAGATATGGTGGACATCTCTGCTGAAGTTCAGCGTCTCTCTAAGCGCCTTGTCAAGATGCAAGCCGAATATGATGGGCTGATGGCTCGTTTGAGTTCTTCAAGTGTGAGTTCTCCATTTTCTCATTTTGCCGGATAAATAAATTGAATGCCGAACTTAAATTTACTTCAGAATTCCTTACAGTAAAAATAAAAAAGGCAACATGGTACTTAGAGGCAAATACGTCCACATGTTGCGAATAATAAATAAAGATGTCTTACTTTTCCATTTACTTCAAGAAATAAAGATGTCTTACTTTTCCATTTACTTTATCAAAAGATAGTTTTATACTATTAATTTGTGTGCATAAATACCATTACTTCTATTTGATATATACCAAGAATGGTGCAACTAGGCAAAGTTTTATTGTGAACGAAAATTGGAATACCTCAGATGCAAAGTAGGCGTTCTAGTTTTTTCTTGATATGTTCAATATTTCAAAAGGCTCTCCCCGACTGTCGAAACAGTACATAGTTAAAATCTTACAGTATTATGTCTTGCTTCTCCATTTCCGCTTTTCTATGTCACAGACCTTATAGAGTTGCTATGTGCAGTTTGTAGAGAAAGCTCCTGAGGATATTGTTCGTGGTGTCCGAGAAAAAGCGGCAAAGGCAGAAGAGAAGTTAACTCTAACTAAAAACCGCCTTAATTTCCTCAAGTCAAAAGTTTTGATTGCAAATTAGTTTCATTCGAACAATCCTTTGTTGCCGCTCACCCTAGTTCAACCCACTAGAGGTTCATTACATTATTTTTGAGCTTTTTGCTCGATATCAAGATGAGTAGCCTCTTCCACAAGAACAAGGTGGAGATCATCTAATCGCATTCTCGTAAGGCATTCTTTCATCTTTCTTCACCTTGACCAGTAGGTAGTTCCATCAAAAGGGTACTGCTTTACTTAATCTGTGTTGTGCTTCAGTCTAAGAGTAGGGCGTTGAAAAATAAAGCATCAAGTGGCGGCTTTTACCCATTTTTCTCATTAACCCCTAGAAAGAGTGTGGGTGGGTGGGTGGGTTTGGGGGAGGGTTAGATGTACAGAATTATATTTTTGTGAACATTTGTCACGTTAGTAATCATGATTGCTATATTCCATGTGTTAGAGTTGACTCGATTTCGGCTTTTACACAGAAGCACAAGTTAGTCTTTCTGTCTCTGTTATGATTTTTCTATCTTTTCAAATCTTGTTTGGTCGTCATCTTTTGGTTGTAATTTGTAACAAATGGCAGTTGAGATGCTCATAATTGTTAGATGCATTAATCAGTTGTTTTTCTTTATTTCTGTGAAATCGTTGCTAGATTTTATGCATCAAGACTAATAGGAATAAATGTGAATCCTTGCTGCTGTATTTATAGGCAGAACTCACGTTGGAGGACAGAAGCCTTCTTACTAAAGTTAGTAGTAATTAGTAGGAGTAATACTCCCTCCGTTCACTTTTACTTGGTATGTATACTAAAAATAAATTTTCATTTTTACTTGTCACTTTACACATATCTAAGAGAAGACAAATTTTTTTCCTGTTATACCCACAGTATTTATTATTCATTTTAAATCATTTTCTTAAATCCAATAAAATATGCATCAATTAATATGGGTATCATGTTAAATTATGCACTGCATTTATTATTTTTTAAGGGGCATGAAAAGTCAAAAGGTGCCAAGTAAAAGTGAAGGGAGAGAGTAGTTAACACGGACAAGTTGATCTGCCCACGTCAAAAGTAGAATTATATATTTGAAGAATCTGCGCAGAAAATGTCTTTCACTTTCTTGATTCATTGATGTGCTTGCAAAATGGTTGTGCCTTTTTGGTAAAATAAGTCGGCTTTATGTTATGTATCTTGATGCCTCTGCTTGGATTACTTGGACTGCAGTCAAATTTTAATTTGGTTTTTGACACGATATATCTTTCTAACATGTGCGGAATAACCAGAAAAAGAGGGAAAAATCGAAAGTGCTGATTCATGATGATATTTTGTTATTTTGTTTGCTCTTCAAACAAATGCTCTTTGTGAAATTAGTTTTTTCTATAGCTTTAGAAGGTTAAGAAAGTTGATTTGGTGGATTACCTGCCCGGCTACCTTTGCATATTAGCTGTGCATGATGATGGGATTGTCGACTCGCTTCATGACTACCTTGCGATTAATGTTGGTGACGAGACCTATCACAACCCGAATTGGGGGCCGTGGGCTTTTTCTTTTTTAAAATTTTATTTTTGGGTGAATACGAACAGTTTAACTACTTTGTACAGATATTGATAGGATGCGGAAGGTATTTTGAATGTGATTAGCTTGTACATTGAGCATGTGTTTGGAACAAAGGCGTATCACTGTCTTTATCCGCCGAAGCTCCTCCTTTTGGATTATACAGATTCTGCTTTCGTTATTTTATCGCTTGAGCCTGACTTTGTTCTTCATCTTGCACTAAGTGTGATTTTTATCCTATCGTATCAAACTATCAATTATTGCTAGAGCATAAATTTAGAATCAAACCAAGATTAGTGAGTTTTGTTGAATTCACAAGTGAGTTACAAAGCATATGCAGGATCATTATCTAGTCCTTTCAAAACACGAGGGTTAATTGAATTGTCTTACTAGGACAATTCATAGTTAACATTCTTCATCAGAAAAAATACTCTAATGATGTTCATAGATTTATCTAGTATTGTTTATTGAAAGGAATTCAACTAAAATAAAAAACATAAAGTAACAATATAAATTTAAGTTCTTGATTAATATAAAATATATTTATTTCAAAGCAATAATATCGGGTACCTAGTATTACTTAATATGAAATACATCATTCAATATAAATTAAAAATCTACTCTTATAAATTACTATATAAAAGAAGAGATCTATTTATACTAGAGAGAATATTCCAATGAGGAATAGGAGAAAGAGAAAAAAAAAGACAACAAAAATAAGAAAAGAGAAGAAAGGTATGGTAAAAAAAAGCTAAATTAGTAAGGGATAAATTGAAAAATATAAATTTATTGTATGGATATTTTTGTCTTGAATAAATTAATTGTCTGCTTCTTGGAAGAAGCTAGAATTTGTAGCTTATCCTCAAATGCGTATCTCTTTTTAAATAATATTAAATTATAAATTGAATTCTTATTGTTCTTTTTGTAATTTGATACTCAAAAGTACTTTTTGTAAAGATTGATCAAACACAATTTGCTTACAAAAAGTACTACTCAAATGAGTTGGCCCAATGCAGATTGTTATTTTGTAAAAGTACCTTTTCAAAAAATATTTTTGGACACAAGAATAGAAATAGGACATACCTCAACAAATGATTAATATAACAAGAAAAACAAACTAAATTGCCACCGATTACATATGGGAGTGACACCGAAGCTCTATGTAATGGTGTATTCAAGCCTCGTCACCAAAAATATCTTCAGAAAATCTAGAATATTTTACAGAAATCATAAGCTTAGCCATCTAGAGAAAATGCATGTCTTTTTCTTTGTTCTTGGCGTTTCCTTTAGGCTATATTGATTATATTTTGATAGTTTGATGCTGGTAAGAAGGGATGTAGCTGCACATAACATTTAACTGTTTATAGTTTTAGAATTGGGTTATACATAGATCTATTTTATTCTTAAATAAAAATCACACCAACTATGTCGATTTACTAAATACATAAACTAAACAGAACCAAATATATGTTAGTGTTTGTTTTGATTTTTTTTACCATATTTTGACTTTCCTGTTACTTGACGGAAAGGTAAAATATTTATCATAATTAATTTTACTTTTCCTAAAATAAAAATGTAGAAATTCTACATTTGATGAATCTTTTTCATCAATTTCACAATGTTTTGCCTTTTCTATGCTATTTTTATAACTTTGCTTGCTCAAATTTTTGAGTCTTTGATTGCATTAGTTTTATGCTTTGTCTCAGTAGATGTGATTAGGGGCGTCAATGGTTCGGTTCGGTCAATTATTTTATAAATTATATACCATATTAATTTTTCTGTTATTCTATGTTTATAATCAAAAATTGGACTTTTCAAAACCGTCCAATCATTTCGGTTTCTCTTCGGTTTCGGTACGATTCGGTTAATTTTCGGTATATTTTTAAAATGCCATATAAGAGTCACATACAAAATATAGATTACTCTAAATAAGTACATACTCATAAAATAACAACAACAACTCAGTAACTTCTCACAAGTGAGGTCTGGGGAGGGTAGAGTCAAGAGTGTATGGAGACCTTACCCCTACCCTGGAGAGTAGAGAGGTTGTTTCCGAAAGACCCTCAGCAAGAATAAAAAATATCAACTAAAATAAAACGGGAGGTATTTGAAACCAAGTTTTTCGCAGGGAATAAAAGGATAATGAAGCAAAAACTCCAGACAGTTTAAAAAGACATTAAGCTGACGGAGACAAATAAACAACTAAAGGCTATCAGATATATTTGTTTAGAAAGCTAAAATGTAGTTCATGCACAAATTGGATAATACTGCAGAAAGGAGGGATATATGGATGTCAACGCCCACCATTTTCCGGTTACAGCTGCTTCAGCTTAACCAAGACATGCTAAAATTCTGCACGTAATAGTCTACGTAACAAAAAGTAAAGCAAAATAGCACTATTACATTGACACACTGTCATTGACACCTGCAACCAAGCACCTATAATATAATGATAAGAATTTGATTGTTAACACATAACTTTGTAAATTACATAAAATAACAAAACTTATAATTGATCTAATAAGGCAGTGAGGCAGCGCGATACCATCAGGAACATCAACTCACCTTCTACCTATAAAGAAAGAGAAAAGTAAATTGTCATTTTTTTTATTAAAAAAAAACATGTGATGAAACTAATTAATTTGGTTCTCTTACAAGTGAGTCATGAACCTCAATTAGTCATCAAAATTAGCAATAATGGTTGGAGCTGAATTCAAACAATCTGCAAAGAGTAAATAAAATTAACTTAATGAATATTGCAATCTTTCACATTAATAAAGAAAATAATTAAATTAATAAAAAAAATCTTATTACCTTCTTCAATCTCTTCAAGACTTTCAATATTACCCAGCGATTCACGTAAATCAATAGGAGTAGAACGCCACCAGTTTTGCGTACAGATAAGAGCTTCTACAGTTTTAGGAGTTAAAGAACTCCTAAATGAATCAATTACACCACCACTAGTACTAAAAGCTTGTTCACTCGATACAGTAGACACTGGATTGGCTAGAACATCCTTGGCCAACTTTGAGAGAAAAGGAAATTTAGTTATATTTTCTTTCCACCAAGTCAATAGATCAAATTCATTTCTCTTTTCAACCAGCCCATCGTTTAAGTATTTGGCTACCTCCGATGCATTCTCTGTTTTTTTTGTGATTCTATGCGCTTTGCGAATTAAGAGTCAAGAAAGTCTAAACTTTTATCACATTCATCAATGTCTATGCCATGAGAAACTTCATTAGAAGTTAAATCTTCAAATTTCTCGTGTTCAAATGTATATAATCTCTTATACTCATGATACAACTTACCAGACACTCTGTCACACTAGCAATCCTTGAATTTATTAAGATATTATCATGACTATACATTTCACCAAAGCAAAACTCAACATATTCTAACTTGAAACATGGATCCAACACAATAGCAACAAATAATAAATAATTGGTCTTACTATTAAAGGACCAATATTTATCGAATTTCTCCATCATTTTTAGTGCCGTGCTTCTCATGCCATCATCCTCATTAAGGGAAAGAGATCCAATTGCAGAATAAACAGCAACCAATTCACGAAAAAAAGTGTTAGAAGTAGTATACAATGAGCCAGAAAACTTGAATGTCACATTATAGAATAACTTTAAGAACTTTGCG